AGTTTTGCCTAAGTTTGCGAAGCCATTAACAAGTTTTTCTCAAGTTACCCACCGCCAAAAATCGCAAATCAAACAATTGGACTTAGAAGCGACTGGCACCCCCCAAGGAGGTCCGGGTTCGATTTTCGGACAGTCTTATATGAAATTTGTTCTGACAAAACGAGTTTAGCTGCTTTACAGAAGCTAGTCCAGCTCCTGTGAAGTGTCACCGTACCCCTATCTTAATTCCTTCCCAATTCTGGCCTAGGCGTACTGAATTAAGCTCAGTGAGAAATACCATAAACACGTAACTGATCAACTGTTTACTCATCTATTATCTTAGTCTAAAAGATCGAATTTCGAAGATTCATTCAATCAGAGAGGTTTCTAATTTGGTTGACCCAGTACATCACTCTTTCAGCTAGCTTTCCAGACGTCTGTTCGGTAAACCCGTGACAGTTACGACTGCGGAGCGATCTTTTTCAAAATTGAAAATTATAAAAAATTATTTGCGAAATTCGATGGGACGGGAGAGACCTTGGGATACTGCTCACACAGAGTGACGAACTCGTTAAAAGTGAACCTGGGCAACTTTATACATAAGTTCCTCAATTCGAAAGTCCGCAGGGCTCGACTCTGAATTTTGTGATTTAATTATTAATAAAGTACTTTACAGATAATTTCCAGGAGGCGTTTTATTTGAACAAAATTGTGGGGGGGGGCAATTTAGTTTTGAGTCCGGGTCCCCAAAAGGGCTAGTTACACCACTAAGTAGAACATTTTTGCTCATCGCTCCTTCAGGACACAAGGGTTGCCTTTTATATTTCAGGGTTAGAGAACAAAAACAAATATTAATAATCGAAAATCACTTTATTGTTTTTCAAAATATTCCCCATGAAGATCTATACACTTTTACATGCGTTTGAACCAATAGTCGAAGCACTTTTGCCACTCTGATTGAGGTATCTCCAAAACATGCATTCTGAATGCAGCAACCGCTTCTTCAGGTGTCGAAAAACGTTGACCTCTCAGTTTGTTTTTTACGTACGGGAATAAAAAGAAGTCATTCGGTGCCAAGTCAGGACAATAAGGCGGATGACTCATCAAATCGATGTTTTGGGTGCTCAAAAATGCAGCCGATGTGTGAGAGCTCGCATTGTCATGGTGAAGAGTGATCCGTCTTCGGCGGTTGGTTTTCCTGATTTTTTGGAAGACAGCAGGCAAACAAATCTTTGTGTACCATTCAGAATTGATTGTTCTGCGTTGTTCTAGTGATACGATTGCGACATGTCCAGTTTTTCCGAAAAAAACAGGCGACCATCTGTTTGGAAGTGCGTCGTGCGCGAACAACTTTTGTTGGATTTTGCTCATCTTGAAACACCCATACAGGCGACTGCTGTTTACTTTCGGGCTCATACGCGTAAATCCACTATTCATCACCTGTCACGATGTCATAGACGTGTTTCGAAGCACCGCGAGCGTATTTTTTGAGCATTTCTTTCGATAAATCGACACGAGCCTTTTTTTGAACGATTGACAAATTGTGTGGGATCCAACGCGAACAAATTTTTTGACAGTCAAATGTTCATGCAATATTAAATGTATGCTGGTCCCACTAATGCCTAAGGTAGTCTCAATATATAGGTCACATGACGATCTTGCAGTATCAGCAAATCAGTTCACAGCATCAATGGTTTTCGGAACAACAACTGATTTTGGACGACCTTCGCGAAATTCGTCTTGGAGTAAACTACGACCACGATTGAATTCACCATACAATCGATAAACACTGGTACTTGATAGAGCTTTATCGCCAAAAAATGAATTAAGTTCATCTATGCACTGTTACTGAGTTAATTCACGTCGAAAGTTGTAAAAAATAATCGCACGAAAATGTTCACGATTTAATTCCATTTTTGGGCCAAGAAGAAACTAAGTTATTGTAAACAACACAAAAAGCGCTCGCATGTCAAAACGTTCTGAGTACGTATAACCTCAAAACATCCAACTTTACGATAGAGCTGTCAGTTAAATGAAGTCGTAGGCTTCCGCAACCAGAGGCATGTGGGTGATCTGGGCTGTCCGGGTGACGCCGCGTCGAAGGCTGAGTTGCCGACGTTTCGACCATCCTGTCGTGGTCTTCCTCAGGGCTGGTATGCGCCGTAATGGTCAGCGCTCGTGTTTATATTCAAGTCAAGGCCGTGTGCTATTGGCTGAAGCAGCGGCCAATCGGAGGCCTTGGACATATATGGGGGGATATCTAAACTAGGAAAATTCCAAGAATTCCATATGTAGGTAATTTTGAAAGTAAAATTTTATAGTCATTGACGTAAAAACAAATTGGCCAATAATTTTTTATTACATTTTTGGTGTCTTTTTAAAAATGTACTTAAAGTTTTGATGTTTTTTAAACAACTGAAAATATTCTTGTGCGTAAGGAAGCATCGTCTACGTATTCGTCTATGAAATGCATCTATTCTAAACCAGCCAAATATTTATTTTGTAGTTTACTGACTATTCAGGATTTCATTGGAAAACGTTTCGGAATGAAATACCGTTTTTTTTTTTTTTTTTTTTTTTTTTTCGAGGGGATCATTTGACGTTTAAATTTATGGTTTCTACCCTTCATGATATCAACTGCAATTTTCGAAAACTGTTGGTTGAAGAGACTTCCAGCTTTTATCGGATTGATTCATCATGATGTTTGTTACAAATGATTGTTCCTTATGTTGACGAACGTTTCGGGATGTGCCGGAAATTCATTAGCACGCATGTTCATGCATTTTTGACCGTCATATTGCAATCGTAAAAGAGTCCGTTAACATATTCCTTTAAAATATCATAGGGATACAGGATCAACATTTATTTTATTCTTGTGATGAATTAAATGTTGCGATCTTGAACGACACATTTTTCATTTTATTGTGATTCTACTTGTTTCGAGTTCTACTAATAGAGTTTATACCATAAACTCTAAAAGTAATCGGTCTGTTGTCTCGATGGTAAAGGAGAAGATCCAAGTATGGGCTAGATTTTGATTTTTGAATGTAATTGGTACATTTTTGAACATGGGGAATTTAATCTCTGAGCCGTACGTTAGACTCATAACCTTTAATTCTGGAAAGTTTCAAAATTTAAAAAAAAGTCAGTAACGCAAAAAATGCTTTATTAAAAACAATTGCAAAATGTCGCAGTTTGAAAATGTAAATGTAATCGAAAAAGTAATGACAATAAAATTCACTTACATTCGTACAATATATGCACAAAATCGTAAATTCACTAATAAAAATCACAAGTACACACATCTCTCTCACAACCAGCACATTCTGTGTGTGCCCACCCGCGACGTGTAACACACTGTACCCAATCTTTATCGTTTCTGCCTTTGGAAAGAAACTGTTGGCAAAACAGATAGGAAGAATCACCTTGTTGAGGGCATTTTGTGTGTTGTGGTCCCTCAGATTCCGAATCGGAGTCATCCGGGGTGGTTAGCCTTACTACCTCATATTTAGGCCAAACCCCCTTTTACGAAACCATCATTGTGGCCATTACTGGTATGATGTAGAAGGTTGAATGAGGCATGGAAGCCGTTAGCCAACTCAATGTTAACATAGCCATGTTGCCAAATAACATTAACAGCCAACTGGCTAATGGGGGGAAAAATGTATTGTACATACCTTCTGAAAGTTTGATGGAAAATCACGACAATCGATTATTTTTTACGCACATCTTTACTTATTTTTATTTATTTATTTATTTATTTATTTATTTATTTATTTATTTATTTATTTATTTATTTATTTATTTACGTCAAAAACAGTTAAAGTCTGTGTGTGACGTGCTATGAGGAGAAGTTAAATTGAAGCTATATTTATGTACAGAAGCAAAACAAGGGGCCATCTCAGCATTTGCTCGAGAATTAGGGAAACTGGACAAAAACCTGAAAGAGATGGGGGTCATTGACCCAGATGCTGAAGTTCAATACTCGTTACAGTTTTTTAGAATTATAGAATCCAAATGGTAAAGAATACATGAAGTGTCATTGTTAAAATTAATATTACTTTTCTTTTGGATGCTTGGTATAGTCTCTAATTGTATAGAAACAGTTGTACAGCAGAAACGATTTTACTTGGGACTTACTCTTTGGTATCGAATTTAATCGTTTAATGTCATCTGACAAGGTGTTGTAAAATAATGTAGATGTATTGCGTGTGAATTTTTTGTAGTGAGCTGTTGGTACTGTCACCTGATGAATAGGATTACTACGTCAGTGTTGTAGATATCAGCGTTTGCTGAAAATATATTCCCGCCCTGAAGTAAGTTATTTTTAACAAAAACCACTGATTCACATATGAAGAGACAAGGTAATGGTAAGATACCTAGATTAATAAAGAGAGGCTTACAAGGATCATATGGGTGGGGTTTGCTTATTATTCGTACAATTCTTTTTTGTAATCTAAAGTCTCGGAGCTATAAGATGCATTTCTCCAGAATATCATGACATATCTCAGGTGGGAATGAACACTCGCGAAATATACACAACGAGCAGTATAGAGGCTGACTGAATTTGAAAAATTCTGAAAGCGTAGCATAAAGAACTTAATTTTGTATTCAATTCATTTAAATGGACGTTTCTTTTACGGTTTCAGTGAATTAAGAGACCTAAACATCTGAAGGCGTTGACTGATGAGCCCCAACTTCTCGTCGCTCTTCAATGGGACCGAGGGGACCATTTTCACCCCATTCTCGATAGAGCGTGACACCCTCGGGCTTCAAAACAGAAACTAGTCCGTTTTTAGACTTTAGACTATATTTGGACCTTCTCCTCTAACCTTTTAATTAGCCGGATTCATAATTTTCTGCATTAGCAGTATTTCAGTTCAATTATTTTTTGTAAGTTGTATGAGTAAGAATATGTTTAAAAAACTTGTAATTTTATAAAACATAATAAAATAAGCACTCATCTTTTATAATTGTTTTATTTTGGAATTAAAAACAGCGTGTAACACGATGTATTTCAGAAAAGTAATATCAGCATTAGAAGAACAAATGAATAATTTGTGGCATACAACGAGTATATACATGCATCCTATGATATATGAATATGCTGATGCACTTACCTCAAAATTACCAGAAAATTTAAAGGTAAGTTGCAACATTTTGATTTATTCGTATTTGTATTTCATTTCAATCCTTCGAGTGTATTATGACCTTCCTTTGAGTTCCACCTATCGAAATTGCTCAGCCATTTGGCCGTAATCCCATTCTTATTCAGGCATAGCTTCAATTTGCCGGGTTTTATTACCAGAGGTGCTTGGTCTAGGAAATGAGAATTGACGTTTGGAGAACGTTGTTTCAATCAGCTCATATTCTCCCGCATGGCGTGACGCCCACGAGAGCGAGGAGTTTGCATGACGTTATAATTTCCGTCTTTACCAACAGCCTGTTTGGAAGAATGTAATGTTATTTTTATTTTTGCATGAGTCAAGTGTTTGTATTTTCTAAAACCAACCAGGCAATGTTTTGTTTTAAGGGAGAAAGGTTTCCATTCGCAGAAAATCCTCTGTACTAGTTTTTTAAACTAGTTTTGAAACAATTCTGAAATATTGCGGAGCATAAAGATGTATTGAATATGAGATTTAAGAGGCAGGTGTACATATCTTGAATAAGTAATACGGAAACTCATCTAATTAGACAAATTTGTTGTATTTTTTGTTCATTTTGAGGATTTTATTGGAAGAAGTTTCGTAAACAAACATTGAATATGTTTTCAGGAAATGTCTGATGATGCTGAGTTTGTGGCTTTACACCCTAACCGTAGTTCTTAAAAATATTGCTACTGTTGTTGGAACGTTTATCTTCTCCATCTTTCAGAACACATTTCGAAGTTGATGTGCTCGTATTTTGTAGTAAATTTCGCTGCATTAGAATATGATTTTTGTGACGTTTTCACGTATTGAATTAATAGTCAATTAAGTTATTCCATATATTATTAAGTAGATTTCATGTATTGTGTTTTTTTGCAGGTTGTATACTTCGTGAACAGCGGTTCAGAGGCCACTGATTTGGCAATATTGCTTGCTAGATTATATTCCAAAAATTATGATATTATTTCTCTTCGCAATAGTTACCATGGTATGAGTTTTGGAGCCATGGGTGTTACTGCCCTTTCAACATGGAAACATCCTTCTCCAGGTGGACCTGGCATTCATCATGTATGATTTATACGAACCAAAGACATTATTAGCATGCACATAGGGTGGCTGCGTTCTTCAAAACAAGCAAAGGAATTTCCATATAAAATAAATGATTTTATGCATACTTGTAAGCTTTAAAAATATTTTTAATGTTCAATTCATTATTGAACATTAAAAACACAAACCAAACATTGAACATTAACCACAAAAATCAAAAGCATATTCATTTAGAAGATATAAAAGGAATTATTATTTTTACTTCCTCCGTATTGAGTACAGACAGTTATGTAATACTGCGCGAAAAAAAAGGTGAATTTTCAACAGAAAAACTATTACAGGGCCATGATAACGAAACAGTGGAAACACACGTGCTAAATTCGGGGGGGTGGGGGGGGGATCCTCGATCACGTGGTGTAGCTAGAATCCATGTTTTGTGGGTCCTTTTACGGGTATTTCTATATCGTTATCTATCATTAATCATAACACATTCATGTAAAAAATCACTCCACACATCCCTCAGTTCCATCTCCCTCTTCTGGAAAGTTACCTATCCAGTACATATCCCTCCACGTCTATCACTTCAATAATACCTCATCCATGACCCAACCGCTTCGGCGTTTCCGCAGGGGGTCATCTCGCCCACACGTTTCTCTTTAAAAACAAATAATCTTCCAACAGTCCCCAGGACAAATGACTTTCTACGGCGCTCTGACACTACTACTCTGGGCATGACACATTGACAAAAAAAATCCAAAAAACTCACAGCCAACTAAGCAGCCTCTCTCCTATTAGACATTGATCGTACTCTGAAAATATAACTGCGAGACGTGAACCTTCACGTGCAAATACAACTTTGCCAAACTCCACTCAAAATAGGCTCAAAAATAGATTCTTAAGGACAAGTATTCGAACCTCCTACTATGACCAATCTGAACGACCAAGACAAACCTTAAAAAAATAAACCTTTCTGAAATGCGTCATTTTGTATTCTTTTACATTCAACAGTATTTAAAATTTTGAGAAGGTTCATAATAAATCATTTGAAGCATTGGTGTCCATAAAAATGCCCTAAATAGCTAGATTTGTTTTACACCACAGCTGATGTTACAGTGATACGTAATTTGTAATGCAATTATTGTAATTTTAATACCGTCATATATAATATGAGAATGTCTTTGTTCCTCATTGGTGTCTGGCTTCTATTAGTTTTGCTAATCAATGATTGTCGAACTGCAAATAAAAAAGAGGTCAATGAAATTAACCTCGAATTAACCTTTTAAATTGTGCAGTGGAGGTAACGTAAATAGAAAGAATAAACTTGTTCTAGGCAATGAACCCTGATGTATACCGTGGGATTTGGGGAGGTTCTCACTGCCGAGACTCTCCAAGTCAAACAGATCGACACTGCAGTTGTGAATCTGGTCAGTGCGATGCCTCTGTTAAATATTCTGATCAAGTTGAAGAAATATTAAAATATTCAATTCCAAAAGGAAAGGTTGCTGGCTTTATTGCTGAATCAATTCAGGTAAATTAATTTTCATTGTTTACTTAAACGTACGAGATAAAATGACCTAATACAGTATTTTAGTAAATACGAGTGTGCATGTGTGTGTGTGCGCGCGCGTGCGGATCCGTCACTCACGGTTAGATCACTTCTCGTGCACTAATCGAAACATATGAGGTCTCATTCGACACCTATCAGCCTCCAGGTGGGAACAGATAATTCGTTTTCGAATTAGGCAGATTGATTGTAATATGATTCAAAGAAATTTCCAAAAACCTTTTTTTGTGTGTTTTGCTGCGATCTTAATGAGAATGCCAGAAATTAAACCAACGCCACCTAAATAGTTATATGTAGGTGGCGTTGATTAACCTCAAGTCTCCAAAGGCAATTTTTGCTTCATACGCCATTTTTAACGGCCGTGGCGACACTAATGTTGCCATCTTTAAGTGAACAAGTGAATTTCATTTTAATTTTCATTCGTATTACCGTGTTTGTTAAAAATAAACTTGCACAAACCTACGAACAGAATTGCCTTCGAATGTATTAAATTTGAAGAATTTTAAGTGAATAAGGGGAAAACAAAACTGTGAGTAACGCTAGAGAATGAATGAACTTTCCTACGTTCGACTTCTCACTTTTACGATTTTAAGTGTGCAAATACCGATTTGCAAATGAATGCTAGTCATAACTTATTCTTATTAAACTTAACTAACACGTATTCACATAAACATACAAAAAGTCGCATTTTAATGTTTATGTAAATTTGAAAACAATTAATTGAACAATTACAGTAGTAGAAGTGAACACAAATTAAGACTGAATTTGCAAACTTTAAATCTCTTCAAAAAGTAGGAGAGAAAATATGGAAGTGTTACGCAAATCCAGGGAACAATCTAATGTAGCAAGTATTTTTTCGGCGAATATAATTTTGAAATTGCAATATTACCAGTTTATATCCCATATGAAGGTAACATACAAGGTCATTGATTGTTGAGAGTTTTTGATTGGGAGTATAACATTATCAGCTAACACGGTTCATTGGTAAGTCCCATTGCCAGATACTGTAACAACATATTTGAACTATGTTAGGCACGAAAGAAATTTTCAACACAAGAAAGTACTTTTAAAAATATATAACATATATGAGGGGTGAAATGACATCTTTCACAGTTTTCTGATTATGAAAGTGCACATTAAATTATTAGTAAATGAGAAATGTAAATTAAGACAGTAAAATATGTCTAAGCCTAAACCTGTGTAAGATGGAAACCTGCCTTAATCGGGAAATTTCTCTCGCCTGCAATGTTACACAGCATAAAACGGAACCTCTCCAACGCGAAAAGAAAACATGCAGAGGAAAAATCGTTATAAAATGGTATTTCTGTGAATTTAATGCAGTTAGCAGAGAGACGCGAGATGTTCTTCATGAAGTGAATGCATCTAAAAGCCTGTTTTAAATTCCCTATACCTCTGACAAGCGATTTAGTCGTATCAGCTGGACGGTAAGGAGTTTGTGCACGCCGCAGCGGACAGCACTATCGATCTTCTGCGCTTGCACAGATGCACAAAAGTGACGAGATTCGTGAACTGTGCATGCGCAGAAGATCGATAGTGCTTTAACGTTCGAGGATGCACAAACTCCCTATTGAAGGAGAGGGTCTTCAGTTGTCCACGTAGAATTCGACCTTGGGATCTTTTTTTTTTTTTTTTTTTTTTTTTTTTTTTTTTTTTTTTTTTTTTTTTTTTTTTTTTTTTTAGCCGTAGGCCGTAGGGAAATTCCCTCTCTCCTGACTCTTTGAGCGTGGGAAGATGTACGGTCATGACTTGTATTCATGCGTCTCCCGTTGAAAATCATAACCCATCGACCAGATACGCATTGCTCAAAGTCATGCGATGGTATCAGTAAGTCGTAGTACTGGGTTGTGACGCATTGTGCGTTGAAAGAGTCAGCAAGCACTCTGAATACAGCTACTAAGCAGTAAGGTGTTGTGTATTTTTCAACTCTGAATCTGACAATGAAGTGTGTTTAATATTCAAGTATTGGTGAATTTTAATAATTATAAGAACATGTATTTTTTTATTTTCAGGGCGAAATATCACAAGTGTCATAAAATGGACAACCTTGCGTAAAGCCGATTCCGGCTTATACAGATTTTACTGTATATTATGTGATGTAATAAAGGTGAAGATAGCGAATGATAAATTAATTGAAATGTTATTAGGAATATGAATGTTTATTGTTTCTAATGGCTTTTATGTTAACCATTATAATTTCATATTATTTCAGTTAAATAGTAAAATAGTATGAATTCAACCTTTATGCTTGACGAAATAATGTAGATATATTCGAATATGGCATACTTTCCTTTATTTTGGTGAATAGTTTTCTTATTTTGGCTGAGTTTCCCTTTTTCTGAACTTGTGGACGAAACGAAATATTGAATTGAAATAATATTAAGAAGCGAGGTACTACTAACATTTAGTAAGACAAAGCATTATAATATAACCTTACACTGATTTATCAAAACTAATTAAATTAAGCTTGATGGGGAGGTTTGATCCACTACGTAGCCATACTTTTGGTTACAATTATAATGAAATTTTGAATAGTTTCCAATTAACAAGAAATTTTGAACCAGTGGAGTTGTTTTCCCGCTGACGATTTCCATCTGGAAACCCTCCTTCGTCACCACGTGTCACATAAATTCGACAGCAGTCAAAATGAACTAACTCTCCTCTAAATAAATAGCTGTGTAATAATTTTGATGGACGGCCTGTGTGGTAACAATTGATTCAGTCTTGATGGGACACAATGCATCATAATTAAAAGTTACATTGAAAATAATTTAACCATTTCAGCCCATCGTTTGTTGTAACAAACGCCAATATCTTTCGCACATTTACTTGAAATTGCTACATACATTTCGAATTCTATAACCACAACATACAGATACATCCTAAACGAAACAAAAGAAAGACATAATAATGTTAATATTAACCTTTTGAGATATCATAAAAAATGTATTTATAAGGTCGCGTTTTAACTTCTAGGTCATATAGCGACCACTGTGATTGGAAACTAAAGGAAACACGTAAGGACAAGACACACTTTCACACTGTCACACTGTCTCTCTCACACACTCGCATATTATATATATATATATATATATATATAATATATAATAATAATATAATATATATAATATCGAACCGAGGCAGCTACTACCTTCAGCCTAAGCGATTTCGGCTATACAGACCGACAATCGAAATGTTATTGAATGCAATTTGCTATAATAAATCTTAACTTGAAACCAGTATTTGGGAGTTGATTTCGTAATGTATTACTGAGCCCGAATGAAAGATTTTTTTTGGATTTTGTGAAGTTTTGATTAGCTTTTAATTGCTTTTAGTACTGTTCAAGACATTAGGTCTAAATATTTTGTGGTAATTGAATGCTCGTTTTGGCCGAACGCTTCTCAGATTGGACATGCATTAGTTAATGAATTCTCAATTGTCATTTCAGGGCGTTGGTGGAACGGTGCAATTTCCAAAAGAATACCTGAAAAAGGTATATACTCTTATTAGATCCAACGGTGGTGTATGTATTGCAGATGAGGTAATTATTACAATTACTATTATTATGTTATTTCTTATTGTTATGTTGTTTTCTCGCCCGGGGTTCCAGGTTTGAGCGGCTTTTAGGCATACCATATTTTTTAGCTTTTGTATTTAGAACCGTGCGTACAATCCGACTTTTGAGTTTTGTGAATAATTTTGAGAAGGAAGACCTAATGTTTCCAAATAATACTTAAGATTTTTGTTCACAAAACCAGTTCTTGTTATTACAGATTGTATATTTTTTATATTCTACTAGCGGAACCCCACAGTCGTCTTGCCCTCCATCTCCCTCTTTCTCCTTCCCTCTCCCGTTCTCTCTCTCTCCCTCTCTCTGTGTGTCCCTGTCTCTGCCCCTCTGTCTCCGTCTCTCTCCGTGACTTTGTCTCTCTCACTGGCTCTTTGTCTCTATTTCTCTCTCTGCTTCTGTCTCTGTCTCAGTTTGCCTCTCTATCTGTCTCTCCGTGTCTCTAGCATCTCTTTCTTTCTGTTTACTTCTGTGTGTCTGTTTCAGTTTGTTTCTCTCTTTGCGTCTCTGTTTACGTGTCTGTCGCTGCTTCTGTCTTTGTCTCTATCTGTCTCTCTGTAATCTCTTTCTGACTGTCTCTCTACCCCTCTGTTTGTCTATCTCTTTCTCACCGTCTCTGTTGTATCACTCTCTGTATCCTTCTGTCTTGTCTGTCTCTCTCCCTCCCTCTCTTACGCGCGCCGCTGTTCTGACCTTCTCGGTCTCGCCCTGCATCACATAGCAACGCTCAGCAACAATGAATCCCGGGCGGAGCTCAGTTTGAATGGAAATTAAATTAAAATGAAGCGCAATCTTGTGCTGTAGCGTCATCTAGTGGAGTTATAAGCTAACAGCTTATAAACCTTCTGGGTGAAAAAGCACATAACTTTCATGGAAATCGGTAACACGGGGTCGGAGTTCACTGCTCTGGTATATACCAACATTGGTAGGGGAATGTATTTTGATTTTTTTCTGTTTCTGCTTTATTGATGTTGTGATCTGCAGGATGTATAACAGCAATGCATCCTTTCTTTTCCTTACGTTATGAAGTAGAATGTCTGGTTTATTTGAGAGGATCGTTTTATCAGTACTAGTGGCGCCCAGTGGTCGTAATCAGTGGCGGCTGGTACCCAAACAAACTGGGGGTTGCAGCTGCATCGAAAGACGGGAATATAACTTCCAAAATTCCAAACACCAATCTATACCGTAATAAAACGTAAGCAATTCGTGTAAATTAATTAAAACTATGTTAAATAAGTCTATATTCAAATATTACATAATTGTATGCGTAATGTTTGAGTCAGGTATGTTTTTCTTCCGCGCATATGATTCTTGCTTTTATTTCCAGTGGATTTGTATTATATATTTTTATTAATTTATTTTTACTAATTTTCGAAAATACGGTGATCGCACTCGAACACTTTTCAACAAGCACTATTGTTTGGACCCGTTTTACACAAGTTCATTTCAGAGGCGGATCCAGCCAATCATTATGGAGGGGGCTATCATAGGTTTTTGTTGAATAATAGACATTTATTATTGTATTGTATATACGATACTATACTATATTTTAATAATTACATAATTTTAACATCGTTAAAAATTTTCATTAATTTTTCCAAGTAAAAGAAGGTAACAAACGAAAATTCTAGGCCTTTTAGACATTAATACACCATGTTTATTAAAGTTAAACTCTTATTACGTTTCTATATACGTATACGAAGCAATACACGTATAGGGAAAATTACGTTATGCTGCGGAAAATCGATTTCGAGATTTTAACGGAAATACTCGTTTTGGAGTCCCCGAAAAAGTGTTGTTTTTCAAAAAAAGAAAAAGAAAAAAAGTCTCACAACGAAGCTCTCAAAATGACTCGCCAGGAAGAGAAAATTGTATACACGGTGCAAAAGGAGAGAAAGGGAATTTCTTCCAGAACGGACAAACTTTACACAAACCTAACTGCATTCACCAAATGCACATTTTCGATTAACAAATCTAACATCGAATGAAAATAATTTCGCCAAACCAATAAATAATGCAATACTGCCAAGAATTGACAGAACTTGTAAACTTTCAATAAAGACGCGAAATCATTAAAAATTGAGATGCAGTTAGTGTCAGACGAACACAGAAAATTGGTATTTCCCTGGATCACCGCTCTGTGCGGTATAAGATTACTTATATCGAGGGTGTAAGCGTGTGGCTCATTGCTAGACTATGTAGCTCGTTGCTGTCGGAAACTAGAGAGCGCTGGGACTTTTAAAAAAATTGCTCCATCGTTTTTAATTAAATGTTGTTGTTGTTTAGTGTTTAGAATATTCAAGAGAATGATGAAGGTCTTCTGTTGGTTAAAAAAACGATTTATCGAAAATTGCAAACGTTTATTTTTTTCCGCGTCTTTCTACAACTAAAATATTAAAGATAGAGATTTTTCTCTTAATGAAATCTTTTCCTTAAAGATAGATTTTGAAATAAGATCAGGTACAATTTTTCGAAAATTTGAGTACTTTTCGCGTAATTTTGCGTGAAAATACGGGGGAGAAAGAAGGGATTACATACTGTTTTGGCACCACTAGTTTTTAAATGGAACTTGTTTTTATTACATACATAGTGACCACTTCTCATTCATTAATTTCTTCAGGAAACCATCCTCCTAAGATTTTTACTGAAAATGATTTCACAAAATGCTCATTATATAGATGTTTGCATGTACTAGTGATTCTGTCACTACATAGTAATGTGGCTATGTATCTAATTTACAATACAAGAAAAAAAGGCACAAATTAAAAATAATTTATTGAATCTCATGAGTAGTTTTATTTTACCTCAGGTGCAAACAGGATTTGGAAGAACAGGAGACCAGTTCTGGGGTTTTGAAATGCATGGTGTCCAGCCAGATATTGTAACAATGGCAAAGGGAATTGGCAATGGATTCCCATTAGCAGCTGTTGTGACAACACCCGAGATAGCACAAAGCTTGGGTCAAGCTCTACATTTCAATACATTTGGAGGAAATCCTCTAGCATCGGCTGTAGGTTTAGCTGTTTTAAATGTGAGTGTCTGTTGAGTGTGTATTTGGGAAGTAAACTGAAGTATAAATTCTTGGGAATTTATTATTGTTTATTCACACTTTTTCTTCTATTGAATATTCATTTTATTGCAAGGGTTTGGCAATAATATATTAAAGAAATTAGACCAACAAAATGTTTAATTAATAGAATGTGTAGAAATAAGCTTTTTCATCTGGAAAAATGTGATATAAAGCAAATAAGTCAGAAAATAAAAAAATAATGTTTAAAATGCTGCCATCACAGACAAGTACGATAGGCAAAAACCTACGGCAGGAAATTTTCTCATGAAAAAATTAAGAAAATTTTTTACTTTTGAAAAGAAAGCAATTTTTTAAAAGTTGCAAGAAAATGGTGATATGCATAGAAGCATTAACTTGTATTACGAATGTAATTTTTAATACCATTGCTTTAGGTAAGTCTTAATATAAAATACCAGTTGATTCATTAGTTTTAAGTTTGAAACAGTTCAATCAATTTGCCCTGAATTAGTGTTACTTCAAGAATTCCTTAGTATCACATATATTAATAGACATGAAGAAAATTGCAAAATAATTTTCCTCTTCAAGAATATCAAAATGTTTCTAGAAAATGACAGTAAACCATGAAAAATACCTCTATAATAAATCCATATAGTGTAGGTCTGCTTTATACTAACATGATATGATTTCACACACATTTTAAACATACCACACAGTAAGAGAAGCTTCATGTCCATTAATTAACATATTGAACCGAAATTATGTCAATATGACGCTTTTGTAGTTGACAACCGCTATACCCAAACCTTAATGGTATCAAGTATCTACTTTAGTCACAAATACTAATTCTAAGATGTCTTTATATCTTCTCAATTTTAGAATTAACAAGGTAAATTCACACTCATATTTTCAGAAAATTCTATGTGAACTTTTCTCTGAAACAGACTTGTAGGTTTTAAAATAATGAGTGTTTGTTCTCTTTGCTTACAGAACGTAATGCTAGGTCTTTTCCATAATATGAATCCAAAAAATGTAATAATTTGGCATAAGAACCTACTTTGTATCAGTTTCAATGAATAAAGAGAATAAAACATTGTTTTTTAATAAATATATGGATAGATAGATAGATATTTAAAATAATTATTATTACTATTACTGCTACTGTTGCAGTTATAATAAACTTAACTTTTGGATCCACCGTATATAAACATTAATTGATTATATTACGCCCAAAAAGTTTGGGGACATAACAATTATTAACATCAATATTTTTATTTGCTATAACTTTATTAAATAGTTCTTACATATTCTCAGCACAAAATACATTTTTAAAAAAAGATATTTTTTCATTGTAATGTTTGTTTATCCCAACCTCTATGTCTATAAAAGAAAGTTAATTCAGACAGACTTTTTGGTGACAAATTTTCATTATGTAAATGAGGTAATTGAGAAAACAACAACATCCATATTCTCATACAAGATTGCTAAATACTACAAAGTGTGTAGTACTTTGTACTAATTTACAATATGCTAAATCATCTGAAAAACTACCTGTTTAGGTTATGGAAGAGGAAAACACCCAACTAAACAGCAAAAATGTGGGAACTTACTTAATTGAGAAACTTCAAAAGTTGCACAAGTATGAATGTGTTGGAGACATTCGCGGGAAAGGTTTAATGATAGGTGTTGAAATGGTCAATAATAAAGAAACTAGAGAACCTCTCAGTCGAGAATATTTTCAGGCCATTTGGGAAAACTGTAAAGATATGGGTCTTCTACTAGGAGCAGGTGGACTACATGGAAATGTAAGTAATATTCAATTAAATAAAATAAATTTCTTAATAATAGAAATGATTAATACTGAAATAGTATAACTTAAAAAATAGTAATACATTGGCATAAATAGATTATTTACAAATTAGCTGAGTAACAAAGTCATTCTAGCATATCTTTGAAAAATATGTGTTATACATTAATAAATAGATTTTGCTTCCCCCATTTTTAAAAACATTTCTCTCATTTTCAGGTTTTTCGAATCAAGCCACCAATGTGTGTGAACAATAATGATATTAACTTCACAGTAGAAGTTTTTGAAACAGCTATTGAAAGCTTTGTTAATGGGAAATAATTAAAATTATTAAAACAACAACAAATTATTATGGTAACTCTACAAAATGCCTGGAATTTAGAGTTCTTCTCAGTTCTTGTCTTGCTTTTGTCAAAACATATATCATCAAAGATATTCCCACTGTCATCTGGAAAAGAAGTATGCATTTAAAAAGCAGCACATAACTAATAGAGGCTCTCCTTTTAAAAAGTTAACAAAATCAACTTTCAATAATTATTCAACACAAAATAAATTATATTCTAATATCATTTTCCATAAATGGTCATGTTTTATTGTAAGACCTCGAATTTATATGTATATGCAGGTTTGTTTCAAATGAATCAAAATTTATGAATTTATCTTTATATCTAATTCTTACTGATAATATTTGTACATATTTCAAATATTTCCCATTCTTTTCTAGCTTACATTCCAAAAACGGACAAAATATCTATGATTTGTTTTTGTTATTGATGTTTTAAGATGCTTCTTACTTAACATCAGTACATGCAGAAAGGTAATAGTCTGCATATAAAATTCATACAAACTCCTAATCTGCTTGGCATAATGCATGAGGTTGTTTTAAGTTTCTGAAATGGAAACACTGATCAAGTATTCGAATGGTACTTCTATGCCATTACTTAATTTCTTCTAGAGTATTTTGTCTCATCTTTTATACATGATAATTTTGAGTTTTGAATGTGCTTGTTTTATACAACTGTTGTGCAAAACAGAATGTAAACAAACATAAATTAAAATCAATAAATACTTCTAAAAGTAAACAGTTCTCAAAAAATAAATTCCTTCTTTATGAAATTATATAAAACAAGAGCAGGCCCAATCTATTAACAATTATTAATGCATCTTTGATTAAAGAATGCTTGTAAGCATGTTACAAAATGTTGGTGCATTTTTTGGCACTAAAGAATAATTGCACCAATTTTGAAATCAGCTTTTAGGACATATAAATTCAAGGTCTAATAAGTGCCTACTTGATCAAACTTCATTATTTTAATGATATTCCTTGTTTTGACTTGAATTACATTATTAATTGATTCAATTATATACATTTATTGTTACATTCACCTGAAGAAACACAACTATAGCAGTTGTTTTTGTAGATTTGTGAGCCAGAACTTCTTCCATTGATCTTACAGAGGTACCCAAATATACATTAATAATTTGGGCAGGAATGAGGCCAAAAAACGAGGCTATAAAATATACTCGGGGATTAATGTTGCTTACCTAATTAAAAATGGGACATGTGAGAAGATACAAATCAAAAAATTAATCAACTACAAAAGACACTGCAATAGAAACATATATTAATTACATATTTTCTTCACCTTAAAGGCAAAATTGACAGAAACTGATTTCCAACAAATTGAGAATTTTTATAAAATAATACCAATAACTGAAGAAAATATTCCAAGATATCTATTCGGAAGGAGGCTGTGGTCAATTTCACCTTTAAGGATACAATACTTTTTGATAATGACTTACAGCAAAAATAGTGTTCTGAAGACCAAATGGAATTGGAGTTAAGCGAGCAAACACAGCAACTTTAAATGCTTTAGGTCCAGAAATAACAATTAAAATTGCTTTAATATTTTCATTTTCTAGAAATCTTGATAATGAAAATTTAAAATTAAAAGCTTTTATGCAAAAAAAAGCTACAACTACACCAATATTAACAGTAAGCATAACTGTCAAAATTCCTCTAACTATTCCAAATAAATAACCAGAAGCTATTACCAAAAAGGTATAGCCCCATGTGAAAGGAAATGACACAAGTGTAAATAATATTGCAAATAAAATATAAATAACCCAATGTTCTTGAGACTCAACCCACATCAGAAGAGACTTGACATACTCTCTACATTCAAAAATGATTGCTCCAATAACAATTAATGCAAAAAACAATAACAAAACATGATACAAAAGGTTTAGGCCACTAAAAATATTGTATTTTATAAATGGTAAATCTCCTTTGGCTGTCCTGAACGACGAGGCATCTTCCTCTATCGTAATTATATCCATGTTTCTCGGAATTGGATTAACACAACTTCATGAAATAAAACTATTCACAACTAAAGCAATCACTTAGAAAATGCATGTTTGTTTTCGTGGGCAAATCTTCACAATACTATAGAGAACCTCCAAAGAAATTGTAACTGCATTGTTATCGCTTCGAATTAGCATCACCAAATCGAACAGGTTGATGTTGACAAACGAACTGCGAAGGAAGCGATTGCGAAGCGAGATATCGCGTACCGACGCGTGCTGTCAAAGTTTCTCTCTGGCAAGTTGCGGCAAATTAAACTATATGTTATCGAGTGCTGTGGAATTCCGGATTGACTGGGATTGACATTATATTTTTTTTTCGTGAAAGCAATAATGTTTTTCTTTCGTGTGCTTTGAATGCAATGATTTCATTAGCAGCTGTTCGGAACATTATTTCAATTTATCATTCAGATTTCTGAGTAACTACTTCATAATTTTTGAACTGTTGTCAATAGACTTACCTTTGAAAGTTATAAACTCGATTAATAAATTGGATTGCACTTTGCATTATGGATTGGAATACTGAATTAGAGATATCACGAAAGGTACCCTTTTTCCGAATAAACTTTATTACTTTAACAAGGCAAAGGTTGCTCAACTATTATTCAATTTTTCAGTCTGCTCCAAAAAAAGGTAGAAGAGCTGGCATTAATATTCCTTTTGGAAGTCAAGGAAATGAAACAAGTTCAAGTTCTTTAACAGGAATGGATAGTAGCCCATTAAGTTCTGCGGGATCAAATAGAAGTTCAAAGGTAGGTTCGTGTGATCTCTATGACATGCTCCAAGTGTGTTAAGAAGGATGTATTTTCTTAATGAAAGCAACGGGAAGTGAAAAAACCTGCTTGGTTAATGGAATTTTTTATTTTACATAATTACAAAAAATCAATAATGGCAAATTATACCGTAATTAAAATATCAATAAGAGAACACAACAAAACAAAATACTTATGCATTTGATGAAGGTTGACAACCTAGATGATTTAAGTTAAAATGCTTCTTAAGCCTAAGGTTATATATTGATGTTTATTTAATAATATGAAAACTATAGTATTGTAGTAAAATGTTTGGTTTAAATGTGAAAGTGTATTTTATAACAAAATTAAAGAATGTAGAAATAACAGAAAGTTGCATTTTAGTACTAGTGTAATAGTAACAGGAAGTAAGAGAAAGAAAAATACACACAAAACATTGCTGGAACCTTTTCTGTTATGCATGTACTACTTCACTAGCCAAAAGATTTAGTTCCTATTGATTCCATGTCATTGTGTGGATGTGTTGGATTAGATAAATATATATAAAGGCATATTATGTCAAGATTAGGCTACTTCTCAATGGCTGGAGAGTTTTGGAAGATTTAGCTCCAGATATTAGTAGTAGCAGGGCTGGGGAAACTGAAGCAACGCCAGGCATGGTCTTAATTGGGGCCCTGACATCATTTTTATTCAAAATATATAAAAATGTATTTACTTATAATTCAAACTATATGTGTATTTTATCATAATTTATGATAAAAGACCTATTCAAAAAATATAATTCCAAAAATTCATACATTTTTTTTCCTTCAATAATTTTTCTGTTTAGAGAAATTCTATTTATTAAGAGTATTTGAAGTATAATTAATATTAAAACATTTATGAAGAAAAACTCTCATTTGAAATAAAAGTTCCCCCAAAGGACCTTTATTTCAAACTGCCCCTGGCCTCTTGCTTACGCTGCGTGACCCTGAGTAGGCGCCATTGTGAAAAGTGTTAAACATTGCCAATTTTAGTTCCTGAAACATTTTAAAATTGAGTAACAATTAAGTGGATCTAGGAGAACTTTTGAGGATGAAAATAAATTATGAATCTCCAACTCCAAAGTGAAGTATTGAAAAGTCTAATCCATCCTGACAGAGCAATTGTGTATTAAATGTTTACCAAACTGAAGAAAGAAACTGAAAAACTGTAAAGGTCAGGTAATAAAGCGAATTTTGATGCCTTAAGTAAATAATGTATATCAAATAGGTGTGCCTAAGATTGTAATATGAGATTTTTTATTCAGTAGTAATATTGTGAAATTCATTTATTTTACTTTTGTAATTCTGTGGAAAATTCATTTCAAGATTTTAAAGGAAATATATGTTTTAAGGTTCTCTGACTCCAAAAATGTGTCATCGGGAGAAATTGCTCAGGGCATCAACTGATTTCACTGTAGTCCTTCTGACCGGGAGGTCCTAGGTTCGAGTTCCGACGGTGGAAGGATTTTCGACACACGCTTGTCAGCTAGGTCGAATTCAGTCACTGTTTGGAGAAGAATTCTAGCGGCTGGCTGATCCGATAGGTAGTTTTCCGTGGCTTCTTCGATAAATATTAGGCAAATGCTGGAAAAGTACCCTAACAAACGGGACACGGACAACGCGCGATCTGTGTAATACCTCTCTTCTATCCTCGCCCCTTTCACACACTAACATACATACTAACATACACCACACTTGCGGGGAGACCGGTCGGGAGCTTAGTGCTTGCTCTGGCTGGGGCGGTGCCCCGCTGGTGGGAGATACCTGGTTGGGAAAACATCGGTAGTCGACGGTAGGTCTGCGCCAGATATCGCCATACAGCGGGGGAAGACCACCGCCACTACCAAAGCAACACATGCACTACACTTACGGGACTAATGACTTGAATAGTTGACGCGTCCAGAATCACTAACAACCAACCAAAAAGGTGTTTTTGTTTAACCCCAAAAATTTCCATCTGTTAGTGTCGGTCGGTCTGTTTCTGTCTCATTCGGTCCATCCGTCTAGCACTTAAACTATTCGTAGTATTATTTCCAAGCTGCATACCCCGTGGTCTGACTGATCTGGCCCGACTCGAAGCTCTGCGATTTTGAAAAGAATTCTTCAAATTTTGGGGTTTGGTAATAATTTTCTCAAAAATGGTATTTTAATTTTTTTTTAACATGGCGCACCAATCGGAAAAATCTGGGTAAAAATCCAGAAGAGTATATCATAGCTTATTTTTAGGGCAACATTAGAGAATTTTCTCGTGCACCCCGCGAAATAAAAGCTTGAAAGAGTTCCATTGTTTTCAAATCCATTTAAAAGTTTGAATTTCGCAAATAAAATTTTAAACATTATTTTTGAAAAATTTAGTAAATTTCACGCAAAGAAACGTTATTTTCCATGGAAATTCATGAGGTCAATTCAATGAAAAGTAATTAACACGTTTTTCGTTATTACGAAGGATGTAAGGAGGGAGAGGAATCTAAAATGTTCATGATTTTTTTTCGGTCACAGTTCTTAAGCCTGCTATACATGGTACAGTTTTCGTGCAAATTCATAGTTTCTGTACAGAAACTTCAAGATCCTGAACTGAAATTATAAAAGCCAAAAGTCACACATACATGGCCCGAACGTTTTCTGCATGAATGCCACAAGACCCCGCTAGAGGGACTATACGTGGGTTTTTATTTCTTGGCGCGTGAGGGCCTGTCATCACGATGGAATATCTCACGGCATTTCGCGTCTTTCTAAGTCGTACTTCTAGATGTCGCATTGCCAGGACTGCTTGATAGGTCAAAGATAAACATATATTCATCCATGATACGGTCGCGATCATACATTAGCGGCACGACCGAGAAAGACGCGAAATGCCGTGCGATATTCCACCGTGAAGACAAGCACTCACGCACCAAGAAATAAAAAACCCAAGTATATAGAGCAACAACTGAATTACGCCGTCCGAGTACTTTCAGTGGCGGTATTTCTGTGCGTTAGGGGGTGTGATCATAATTAAGTGTTAATTAACCATGAGGAACATAGAGAAGAAAAATGGGAAGGAGGTAGTTTATCACAATTTCACGTCACACAAACGCGCCTTGACACACCTAACCACAAAATCGAAATGGCCGATTACCATGGGGTCAGGTTAGTGAACGATTCTGACTGGGAGGTTGAAACTGTGCATACTTGCTCGTATGGCTTGACGCTGGAACCTTGGAGGTAGACTTCGTCTCTGTTCGTTGTGTGAATTTCAGCGAGTGCTGGTGACTGCGTGTGTGGGTATATACTGCGTGCTTCAAAACACTTCCTTTGGCCTCTGCCTCTTCTAGACGGATCGATCAGTCGGCTAGAGTTAGGTCTCTGACAGCTCCAGGATGAGCGGGGGCAGCCACGGCGGGGCACTGCTCTGTCATTCCCCCACTATATTATCGTGTGAATCGTGGTACCTCAATGGATTGTCCCCTTGGGGGATTTGGAGAACGAAAATGAAACAAATTCTATCTTAAGGATCATGAACCCAACCCCTTGCCATCTTCTGAAAAAAAGAGGCAATGTTTTGAAAGAACCGTAGATTCGATTAGTTTTTTTTTTTTTTTTTTTTTTTTTTTTTTTTTTTTCGGTGAAGAGAACAGACCAGATAAACCACATTTTCTTATGTCATGCGCCGAGGAAGAGCAGAGTTAAACGTGTGAGTTATAGACGATTCGTTCGGAAAGATTCAAGCGGTCGTGCGACAAAGGCACCATGGCACCAATGGCACCATTCGCTTTGAAGCGCGCACCTAAGGAGCAGATTGAAGAGATCCTTAAAACTAAGCAGTCTGCCGGTCTCCATATGGAATTGACCTACCCTTAACCGTTGAAGAGGAGTGGTCAACCACGACGACTTTGCTCCTGAAAGGGAGAAGAAACTTCTCTCTTTAAGTCAGGGTGACAGAGGTATTCAGGATCAATAAAGAGGAGCATACATCTCTTCCAACTGCCATACGTCACCATGACTGATGTGGAGAAAGATTCGCTAAATACAAAGGACACTCATCACCGAATACGGCGCGAGGTCTTAAGAATGGAAATCATCACTTCTCGATATGTTTGTTGTAGAACTCGCCGCACGCCACAAAAAAGTTAGAACGTAGCTCGACGAACTACGCTCTAGACTTTCTTTTGGTTAAAGTTAGTCTGGAGAATCTTCCAAATGGAAATTTGTAACATTTGACGATTAGAACACCCCCATTCTTACGCACATTGAACTTACATTTAAACGCATGTCGTGAAATGAATTAAAATAACAATTGCATGATTCATGTCAGATTCTTTATTTACATGTTTCATATATCTACTTTTCCAATGCTATAAAATCAATTAAAATATCAAATGCACGATCCTTGTTAGATTTTTTTATTTTTAAAGAGAGTGGATTCTCAACCTGTTGCTCCTCCGAGGTCACGAAAAACTGGAGGATGGGCAGAAGAAGCGATAAAATCGGGAAAGTAAGCATCAAATTACACATTTTGCATTTATAATTATTAAATGTTGTTCTCCAGTAATTAATACATATCATTTTATTAACATTTCAGAAGGAAGAATGGGAGTAGCAATTTAATAGAACAGTAAGTAAAGAATTTATCAATCTATTGATCTTAACACATTATTGTGTGTATATGATAGTGTATATGTAGAAATAGTGTATTTTTATTTGCCTTATTTCTCCGTACTTTGTAGCATTATTTGTTTTCAAATTTTGTGTTGAGGTTAACACTATAGAACCTATGTTTAGATATACATTAAGTGTGATATTTTCTGTTCTAGAGAAAGATTCCAGTCACCAGACAGAATGAAGAAAAATGATTCTGATGACGGTAAGGATAAGCTGAGGATAAGTTTGCAATTTCGAGAGATGTATTGCGTCATAGTTTTAATGAATACCAAGTGATGGAACAAGATTAGATCAGTTTCTTTAAAAGCTATTTAAAGTAATTATAATTGATCCAGAATATTAATATTAGGAATGCATTTCAGTATGCAAGGAATGCATTAAAAAGTTCGCATTCCGAAAGATATTGTTTTTGATTATCAAACGTCTCCAGATCGATTAAAGGGAACATAAACAATATTTGATTCACTCATATATGTCGCTTAACTATTGCAATGTAGGGCCTGCTTTTACCATTCTATTATAATCTTAGTCATATTTCAATAGTGCTATTAGGGATAATGGAATAAATTGAGTAAACGTTTTTTAAGGCGCCACTAAATGGCAGCTAAGGGAAGGGTGTCGCAAAGCCGAAAAGATATCCCAAACTAAATATACAAACTATAACGAGAAAGTCTGTGCCATTCTGTAGCCCCTACTTACGTTCTTGTATTCCTTCTTATATGCGGAGTAATATATAGGTGTCAGTTTACTAATCTACTTCCTTGTAGAAGCTAGCCGATAACGTTATTTTGAGACGAAAATTCCTCTACCACTATTTCGAAAAATCATTTCTTATTGATAAAAGCAGTGGCTAATGAATTGGCTCATAAATTTAGACCATTGCTGATATCCTCGGCAGGCAGTTCAGATATCTTCAGAGTATGACAGGCTCAAGCTCAGCGAGTTTGAGCAGATCGCTCATGGGGAAATGCGCTTGGTTGGTGATTGGACATTCACCGGTTTTTCGTAGTATTTCTCATTGCAGTTTCCTGCAGCTGCACGGTTGTGTCCGGTGAAACATGGAAGATAATAGCGAGATCACGTTCCGAGAATATGGAGACAAGATGTTACTGTTCGGTGAATGCCTTGGCAATGCCAACGACGCTAGTGGTGTTTATCAAGAAGATTCTCCTATCGTTGCGTGCCGTTTGCGCTGACAATACCCAGAGCTTTCAACAGACTTGTAGAGATGCAGTTTCAGGCCGCCCGCGCGACGCCGACGAGGAGGTCGTGTAGGGCCGATGTAGCCACTGGTGTACAGCGAGGGGGGAGGGGGTTACAAGGATCCATCATCACCGCATATGAATGTTGTAAAAGCTGAAGGATATAAACAATACCGTTTTCAGAGGGTGCAGCACTTCCGGGAAGTGCAGATAGGCATGTGTGAGCAGAAGAAGTGCAGAGTGGCATTGTGTGAAGCAGAACGCGGGTAATGCATCATGCGCGGAGTGTATTATGTTTATTGACGAAGCACAGTTTTTACGCGATAGTATTGTGAATTTCCACAACCTACACACGTGGGCCAGTGAAAATCCACTCGTAATCAGAGAAGACGGATACCAGCAGCAGTTGTTGTAACTGGTTTGGCTGGCATCGTCAAAGATAAATTTATACAAGGGTCAGTGTTTCCTTTTCCTGATCGATTGGATGAGAGAGGTACTTGAGTTTTCTACACGACCTTCCTGCTTTATTACCACTTGTAGATCTTGCTACGTGTGTGCGCATGTGGTGCTTGTTTGATGGAGCGCCGGCCCGTTTTGCGCGCGCCGTACCATCGAAGTGAACGCTGTGGGCCATCGCGTTTGCCGGATCTCAATCCTTTGGACGTTTTTGTTCCGTGTCACTTGAAAAGCATTGTGTACGCTACCCCAGTAGAAATGGCAGATGAGTTGCGGGCGAGAATGGTGCGCGCGTCGGTTATCATTCGAAGTACCCCTGACAAGCTGTTGCTTGCGCGTGGATCGCCCTTAAGACGCGCGCGGAAGTGTGAAGATTGTGCGGGTGGTCCTTGCGAACACCTGTTGTAAACAGTAATAAAATAAGGTGCCCAATCTGCTCAGAAAGTTGTAATTTAATACATAAAAGTCACCAATTGTGTAATAAAAGTAGAACAGTTACATTCATCGTTATTTATTTGTTATTTCATTCATCGCAACACAATTTAACAGTTTACTGAGTTCCTTGGTTCAGTGAGACAAACTATTTTGAATTCGGAATGAACGTTTAAATTTGTTATATTGTCTTTACCAGCGTACTGTTAAATTTGTGTTTAGAAAAGTAAATATTCATAAATTCACTAATATTCAGATGTTTATCATAATTCAGAACACATATATAAACGTTAGTTGAAAAGTGTAAAAAGTTTCGAACCAGCGAAGGCATTCGCCACTGCGAATGATAAAAGTGGAATAGTACAGTGTTCTTTTGCATTTAGCATGTTATTCCCTAAGCGTTGTATCAAGGTGAAATACAAAAGTAGATGCTATTCCAAACGTAGATATTCTAATCCGATGCGTCCTGCCGTTGCGCGCCGAACTTATCTGTTATAGCGCCGCAGTGCCGGCGGGATGATTCACAGGCCTTTCACAATTCACGTGCCGCTTGAACTACAACTTGTTGAACACTTTTAAGCTCGTAGTAGCAAACTCAGTATTTTTCGAAACTGTGGATACATTCAGATACCACGCTTTTTGTGCAAAGTGCAGTCAAACCATGCGCCATGATTACCATTTCCTTTAAAAGAGAATCGTATCTGTATATCAAGAGGATTTCTTTTTTGGAGAAAATTGAAGAGGAATTTTCTTTTAAAATAGCCTTATCTGAAAAGCCTTTTCAAGGAAGTATGCCAATAAATTGACACCTGTATATACGTTGTAAAGAGTTATCGAACGCTGCGGAAAGTAGTTTCAAGACCGAAATCCACGTTTTTGGTCTCCTGATACTGAAAAAGTGTCGTTTCTTTAAAAACTTCCGCCTAAACTATTCGTAGAATATTTTCTAAAATGAATATTCCCCAGATAATCTGGGCTGACTCGTTCCTACGACCAGAAGAGATGGCTCAGGGCATGAACTGATGTTCCTCTGACCGGGAGGCCCTAGTTTTCGAGACCCGACGGTGGTAGGATTTTCGACTCTAGTTTGTCAGCTAGGTCGAATTCAGTCGCTATCTGGAGGATAATTCTGGCGGCCGGCTGCTCCGATGTGTAGTTTCCCGTGGATTCTCTGATCAACACCAGACGAATAACGGAGCAGTGCCCTACCGCGCGCGATCTTTCATTCCTCTTCCTTGTCCTATCATCTCTCCTTACTACACAAGCACACCGCAGGGAGAGAAGAGTTTATTCCGGCTGGGATGGTCCCCCAATGGTGGGAGATACCTGGTTGGGGAAAACTTCGCTAGCCTACGGTAGTTCGGCGCCGGATCTTGCTATACAGTGATGGAAAGATCACTGCTACATCCCTAGCCAAACATGCACTACACTTACGGGACTAACGAATTACTTGGGGGGGGGAATATACTGTAGAAAAATGTATAGAATAAGTTATTATGTAACTGTTCCCAGTAATACTAGAAAGTATGTGTTGTTGTAACACCACTAGATCTTAGATACTGTGTTTATTATTCTGTATATATGTGCATATTCTAGGGAGTTAAAGCTCTTCAAAATGGCAATTCAATGAAAATGCTACATAGTTAATTTTGACTGCATTCTTTTGACATTAATAGAAATTTTTTTTTTTTTCAGATATTCCTCTAATACCTGATCTTGATGACCTTCAAGATGATCAACTTGGATCGCAGATCGCACAAGCACCATCGTGAGTAATATTTCTGCAATAGAAATATTCATCATAGTTTTATCGCAATCGGATGAACGGTACGACTGAGCATTAAGTATGAACCAACCAACAAACAAACATTATTTTTTGTATATTGGATTAGGAATGTTTTGAACAAAGGGGATGAGAAAGAGGAAAACACTCATTCATTTCGGTATGTAAACAATTAAATATTATTTTGTAGTAATTGTAAGAGAAACTGGTGAATGAGATTCTTGTTGATTCTACTGATTGATCTTCCTTCATCCCCCCCGTCTTCTCTTGTTATCTTAGAACCATTGACTATTGTGTGCTTTGGAGTGATTTATTTGGAGGCTTATGAATTTTCTCGGCGGCAGCAGGCGTGTACGGTAGGGTGAGTCCTACCGTAGGGGGAGCCAGTCGAGCTTTAGGCTTCCCCGGAACACAGCTGGTCTGGATCGCGCAATTTAATATCAAAGTTAGAATCTTCCCTTTCCATTGTGCGAAGGAGTGCATGTCCGCCGGCGGTGCTAACGGGGTCTGGCCAAGTTGGCGGTGCTAATGGGGTCCTGGTCGGGATGACGGAAGAGAACCTCGCATATCATCTCCGGGGAATTGCCATATAAGGAGGCGAAGAATGCCGTTACCACATCCTCCTTGGGAACTACGCATCGGGCACCGACCTTCCCAGCGACGGTCGGCATCAGCTTTCGCTGACGTCGCTTGTAGGCCCGGGATTGCTGCTCGGGCGCCGTGATATTTATCTTCAAGCCTCCAGCGCGGACCGGGGGCCGTAATTCGAAAGAATCTTCATGTGGAGGGACTTCTGCATCTCACTAACGCACTTTTTGTACGTAGCGTTGAAAGCAGCGGACCTCTCTGCAGTACATACATGGCTGGTTTAGGAACTGAGTCAGCGCCGTGACAGCTGTCGTTAAGTCCTCGGACCAAGTGATCCCCCGCGGGGGAGGTGGTCCCAACTTGGGTCGCGACTCCGGTAGGCGGCAGGCTAACATTGCCTACCTGCCTCGAGGGTGCTCGCCCGAGGCTTACCCCGCCCCTTCGCGTCTCAGCGCCCCGTCCCGCGCACTCCCCGCTCCGCAGCGAGGGCTGGTTCCTTATATTCGTCCCTCTAGGCTGCCGTCCGGGGCCTTCAGGTCCGAGTTGTGTGTGCGGCGTTTGCTTCTGCCGGGGTGCGGGCATTGCAACCAACGCGTCAGGGACGCTCTGCGAGGTGCCTCCGGTAGTGGCTACAAGGGCACGGGTCGGCGCCTGGGTGCAGCCGGTGTCGGCATCCCGCCGCACAGGAGCGTACGATGCGTTGCATCGGCATGGGATACTGCTGCAGCTAAAGGGGCCGGTGCGCTTGTCGACATCGTTTTTGACAGACCTTTCAGGCATGGTACTGCGACCTCCAGCCGCGGAGGGGGGTACATCTGGATCCATCCCCACTCTACCGGGTCCCACATCATCTGCAGGCTTGTAGAAAAAATCACCACGTCTTCCAGGTGCCTCGCGAACTCGTCATAGAGGTCTAGTCTGAGTCAGAATGGTTCTTTTTTTTTCTCTCCAACATTTATACATATTGTGCTCTCTCTCATACTTGTCTTTACTTTTCGTGAGAAGTAATGTTTTCATCGCTTTGTCAGCTTCTTCAATATTTCATCCTGAATACGTTCAATACCTTCCATTTTCAAAATTTTCTTAATACTCTCAGTCACTTTGGTACACCATCCAAGGCCATGCAAGGGCTCTTTTTGGAACCAATGTGACATCAAATATATGCCTCAAATGGTAAACTTAGGCTTGAATTTCTCACAATTTAAATTATTCTTCAATGAAAACGAAAAACTGTTGAACATGGATAAGGGATATAATAGCATTCATGGTAAATAAGAAAACTCACTCTTATCTTTGCTCATTTTGTTGAACATACCACTCGCGCAGTTGTACCGCTTTGTATTCTCTTATTTAGTTGATTACCATCATTTGATTTGTTTTGTCTAAGAACAGAACAAACTGTATGTGATGTACAGAAATACAATCCATGCACGTTTTCTTCAGTTCAAAATTCTCTTCCTTGCCCTTTAATTATAAATACAAACTATTATACATGTACCTCTATGGCCAATGGGCCTCCTGCATACAGTTATGGGCTGAACAATTGTTTTCTCATACAGTTTTGCTACAGTTGGATTGATAATAAGTTTGTTATTAGTACTAGTTTGGTTTATGGCACTTTTACAAGGTTGTAAAAACATTTTCATACTTGTAATCTTCAAATCTAAAAAGTTCAGAATTGTCTATTAAAATAAAGATACATTTAACCTTAATTTTTGTGTTAAATAAATGTTTTAAGATTTGAAAATAATTTTATTTTGTATATAATTTTCATTCTGCCCTATTCAAAGTCCTACCCATTTGAGTCCTACTGTCACTTTAAAATTGTCCTGTTGCTTGTTATTTTCATTAATTGTGCTGCCCTTAAGCACTAGGTGTTGCAGATGTATATTAAATGAATAGTATACAACTGCTATGTACATTTTCAAATTATTACTCTTTGGTTTCCTCAATAAGTTGATTCATTGTCTGTAGGTGATTTATGGTACTATATCGTGTTCTGAATCCTGCCTCCTATGGAGGTTGTTGTTCATCTAGTAATCTTTCTATTCTACGTGCTACAATTTTAATGAAAATCATTTGAAAATTGGATATTACACTAATTGGTATAATATTTAATATTTCTCTTTTCAGAGTTGCTATCAACCGTGTTGCAACATATAAAGAGTTAGACTCAGACTTATTCAGACATGCTGCCTTCACGACCATTGATGATGTCAATTTGCAGCTGCTAGCAAAGTGCCTTAGTCCAGAAAATGACTTGAAAGAGGTATGTAAAAAAGTTCAGGAAATTGAGTAAAGCATATTTCTTCTAATATTAAAAGGTTATTACTGGGAGAGGTGGCTCAGCGCATGAACTAATGTCACTGCAGTGCCTCAAACCAGGAGGTCCTATGTTCGAGTCCTGATGGTGGCAGAATTTTCGCCTCTAGCCAGATAGCTAGGTCGAGTTCTGGAGGAGAATTCTAGAAGCTGGCTGCACTGATCGGTAGTTTTCCGTTGTTTCTCCGATCAATACCAAGCTAATGCCAAAGAACCCTCCTAAACTCACCCCTTACACTTACAAGCACTACACCACCATGTGTCGGGAGCTTAGAGCTTGTCCCAACTGGGGCAGTGCCCTGCTAATGAGAGATACCTGATTGGGGAAACCCACCAAATAGTCGATGGTAGGTCGGCACCAGATCTCGCCATCCAGCAGGATAAGATCACCGCTCCTCCCAAGCAAAAAACATGCACTACATTACGGAACTAATGATCTCAGCCATTGATGCACCCAGAATTGCTAGTAATCAATTACTTATTAAAAGACTATTATTCCATTTGTTACAGAAGGATGAATCATGGACCTGGGACTTACTATTTACAGATGTTGCATCTCAGCTTCATACCGACTGGGAACTAGAAGCCAGTGGTGGGGCCATTCTTTCAAATTAAATATGCAATTAAACTGTTTGAACAAAAAATTAATATTTGTGATTGTGTGGCTTTTCAATACTTTTGGTAAGGAATTAAGCTGTAGAAGATGTGAAATAATTTGTCATCACCATTTTACCTTATTCTTCAAAATATTAAAACTGCTAGATACTTTTTTAAATGAGTTTTAGAGCAATTTTTAAATTATTAGGTTCTACAAACCAATTGTTTTTGATCCTGAATGTGCGTTTGAACGTGTGGTTTTTTTATGGATTATTTTAACCCAAATTTAGGGAATTAAGTAACTGGAAAATGAAGATGAATCAAAATTATGGAAAGGATTGCAAATAGAGCTGATTCAGTCTTGGTAAAAAGTGCTCCCTAGTTCAATTTTAGTTTAGGGTACAGATCTGACTTGTGGATGAAACCTAATAATTGATTATAGATCTTGCAGTAGGTGAACAAGATGTAATCAGTACAGATACGGCAATGCATGATTATATTTGATATTAATGGCAACATAATATATATTATATATTATGTTAATGGCAGCAAATAACATTATTTATTTATTAATACACTGCACCACATAGGTTAATTTAATACTCAAACAGTACAGGAAGTAATTGTGAATTTAACAAACTATGAAAATTCCAAATTATGAATGAATGTTAAAAATGTAGGGAGTAATATTACTAATACAAAATAAAAGTCTGGTAAAAATCCCAAATGTATGCAGTATATTTTTTTTTCCTAGCTGAAACCCTGTGATGACATTTGCACAAAAGAGCTGTAGAAACATTCCAACTGAAAAGAACTTCATATGCACTGTATGTAAAATCTAAAATCCCCAAAATATTGTTTCATGTTGTTCAGTTCTTATTCTCCAAAACTAATGAAATAATGTTTATAAATTCTGTAACAATTCTATCACTAGTCATTGTAAACACTCAGTTAAACATAGAAAATAAAATGACTTTTTGTTTTTACCAAGTTCTGTAGATGTTATCCAAGGATATTCTGCTATTCATCACAACTTTAGTTTATTGCATCACATAATTAAGATCACTCAATTACAGTCCCAAAGGGACATATGTCAGACGATTGCCAGTATTTGCAGTCATGTTAACTAACTAATCTTTGTATTAAAAAATTGTCAATCTTCGAACTTTAAAAATTCGCTATCTTTGCTTCGTCAGCTATAACCTCATGATGCAAGGATATTCTACCAAGACAACTACAATTTAGTGTTTGTTTTACAAAGCTTAATAAGAGCAAGTGTTAACACATCTATTGCCCACTACCTTTAATTTCAAACATAAATCACGAAATATTGTTGACTAGCAACCCCCAATTTCTCTCTAAATGAAAACCATTTGTAATTGAAGTATATAGATTTTGTATTCATTCAATATTTTTATTACTGTTCCACCTTATACTTTACTATATGCAACACCTATACTATAGAATGTAGTGTACATTGGAATAACCTCACAGATATTATCTCAAATTTTCAGTTCTAAAATCTGAGTATAAGACTCTTCTTAGATGCAACTTTGCACACACACCAGGATTGAAGGGTTTATTAGTGCTGTTCCTTAAGTGACTGAACGATCCGTATAGAGTTTAAAGAAATCAGTGCTACAACAACATACATTTTTTTTTCGGTAATTCTAAATTTGCAATTTTTGAAAATCCAGAGTACAACGGAAATGAGACCTACACAATTCTTCTAAGCGTTCCATTAACAAAATCTGAAGAACAAATTTGGATCGGTTTTGAGAAATGTTCTTTTTTATGAATTGCATTAAATTCAAGCACAAATTATGCAAAAATTACAGCGTGTTTTTTCTACATTAGAAATGGAAAGGGTGTTAAAAATTAATTTCATTAAAACAATTAAATTTGAAGGAAATATTCCAAAACAAATCATTAATTTGAAGTCCTATGCAGTCAAGAATTTCTATACATTTGAAATCCTAGTCATATGATTACCGTGATAAATGATAACAATAACGATAACAATAACAACAATAATAATAATAATAATAATAATAATAATAATAATAATAATAATAATAATAATAATATTTTAATAAAAGTTTTATTATAGATTATACAAGCTCTCCACAAGTTGTAATGACAATCTTCTCTACCGATGTTCCAGATTTTGTACCACATTTCTGGAAAATAAAGTCATAAATATCAATTAGTGAACAATGCATGAGTCCAACAATATTTTTCACAGCAGTTTGATCTTGGAGTTATAAGAGTACCTTCAAAACAATAGTTATAATAATTTTACCCTCTGTTCATTAGCTTCACAACATTATTTTTTATACAGGTGTTCAGGAAGGAAACAATGAAACTTTGAAAATAATCATTTAAGGCAATTTTAAGCAAATGTTTTCTAATAAACACTTTCAATATTTCGAATGGTTGGGCCGCAATGAGCACTGAAAAGTTGGTGGGAAAAACTATTTTCTATGCAAAAATTTGCATTTCAGACACACACAAACTCCAGAAACGTGTGAATTGTTTATTGTTTAAAAGAGAAATTAATATATTTGCACACAAAGAACAATTACCGCAGAAATAAAAAAGGAAATTAACTGTGTAATAATCAGGTGCTTTTTTTATTTCTGTGCAAATATACTCATTTCTCTTGTATATAACAAACAATATACATAGTTCTGGAGTGTTTCTTTGTTTCTTAAATGCAAATTCTTGCATAGATAGTATTGCTTCAAACCAACATTTCAGTGCTCATTGTAGCTCTATCATTCAAAATATTGAAGGAGTTTAAACAATATATGCTTAAAATTGCCTTTAGAGCTTATTTTCGAAGTTTCATTGTTTCCACCTGGGACACCCTGAATATCTCACTCTAATACAAACTCCGGGTCAAATTCCATTCCACATTCAATTCACAAATGGTACATTTTTCAAACATATCTTATGACAATTACTTTAAATAGATTTTTGAAAAACCTGCACTATTGTAAAAAGAATAATAAAATGATTTACACCATCTGTAATTATTCATTAAGCTCCAAGCATGTGAATACAGTAATTTTGCTCCTTGAGAGAGATGACATTATTGTAAGTCACTTGAGTTTAATAAATCATACTCACTCATTAATTGTACCAAAGGCATTTCTCATGTCATGTTCATGACATTCAACATTTGAAAATGTAATTTATGAGAAAATGAATTACGATAAAAGTATAGGAATTATTTAAAAAGTGTAGTTACTAATCTCAAGTAAATAAAATATTTTTTTATTGCACATTTAATACAAGAATGTTTAAATGAAAAAAGCACTTACTTCCATTTTCTTTACCACATCCATTCCGCTGATAACATGGCCAAATACTACATGTTTACCATCCAACCTAAAAATAGTTCCAAGAATTTTAACAACAAATTTAATTTTCATCAAATATACCATTATTAAACAATATACATTAGAACCTAAGTAGTTCCTTTTTCTTTCTCGTATACATAGTATAGTGAAACTTACATAATGCTGCAAAATATCAATTTTCAGATATCATGGTCATGCAAAAGGCTGCTCAAAACTGAAGTTTTGCAATTTTAAAAAATAAGGGATTTCAACGAAAATGGGACCATCAACGTTTCTTAAAAGCTTTTCATGCTATCCAAGGACAATGTTGTAATTCGGAAATTTGGAGCCATTATTGAGAAAATTTTCAAAATGTTGAGGCTTTATGTACAGTACACCCAAAATTTAAAAAATTCTATTTCAAACTCGCAGGGTCGCGAATTTGTTCAGAACGATTAGGGAATATAGATTTTGGAGAAAACTTTAGACGCTAGTGTTGACCATAGACGGATAGATGGACTGGCAGACGTTTTGCTGCCAATCAATTTTTTTGATATTAAGGCCCCACAAAATATGGATTCTGACTACATATTTTAGAGAAAGTAATTTACTTCATGTAAGCACAAGATATATCCACTACTAGTTTTTCTGCCAAAAATCATTGTTTTTGCTTGCAGCATTACAATACTTTCCCCACACTTCATTAGCAGAAATCGAGAAAGTAAAAACAGAGCACCATATGACATTGCAACCCTCCTCCCTGCTCCCGAAGCTTCAGAAACAGAACAAGTCATTAGGCAAATCTGGCAATGACCACACGGAAATGCCATGCGTCGCTACTGCAGGGCACACCCTATTGATCGATTTCTTATGGTGCACTATATTTTCATCAGACTAAGACTTCACGAAGAATAGTTGAAGCCATAGACAAGTGAACCAATTGTAAATGGAGGAGTGCCGTGACTTCATTAATGAGCAAATGGACTACATCTTCAGTTATTCTACTAGACCTAGCAGGGCAATTGCTGTCACTTTGGATCATTCTGAGGCTAACATCTGTTCACACTAAATAAATACGGAGATTTTACCTTGCTTTGCTTCTGGAAAGTAAACTTAAATTTTCTACTCCAGCACCAAATGTTTATACTATTTCTGATGTTAAATAAACACAAATTATCTTGTTTTCTTTTGTCTTGCACCATGGTTAAAGTAGTTTCAAAGGGGCCAAACCCTTACTGACGTAACATAAATTTGGACAATTTTATCACCTCTCTTCCCCCAGTAATGTGCGCTTGGACCCCCGAAATAATTATGTAACACTTGCTACAACCCTCATTACTCTTACTCATCCCTTACCCTCTTACTCATTTAAAACAGATAAAAATAAATTATATAACTGTAAAAAAAGTTCTATTAATTTTATTTCTGTTACATAAGAAAATTTAGTGTAATTAATCAGAATTAGTTGGTGATAACTGCACCTACCAATAAAATTGGGGGCAATTTCTTAGCGAAGGAAGGTCGCATAGGCGAGAAAATTTCTGCAAGCCCTGCACAATCTCTCATGAAGAATTATAAGCAAGAGTTTAGTGCACCAATGTTATTTGATTCTAGAATATACTATCTCTACTTCAGCTTTGAATATTTTCTACATAATCCAGGAGCTTTAATTAATATTCCTTTAATGAAAAATTGTTTCCATTTACTGCAACAATTTATTATTATGATTTAAAACAAAATAAAATGGATATATTTAAGCAAATGTTGAAAAATAACAAAGATAAATATCAGCAGTGAACACAAAGCCATATGTGCCCACCCCCAAGTAACATAGGATAATGGCTGCCTCAAACTTCTTAGAGTTACATAATTTATGGACGACCCCCAAGCATCTTTCTGGCTTTCTCTGGTAAAGCAAAGTTATTTCCTGCCAACTTCTCCATTTCCGATAAAATTGCAGTGATATTTTATTCAAAAAATCAAATCATATCTTAAAATCAAAAATTGGCAAAATGTTTCAAATTATTTGAAATATTATTAACAATAAGAAAATGATTGAGCAACACAATCATCTGCTTTACATACTTTATCAACTCATGAGATTTAGAGACTAAGTCTCACAATAAAGGCAAAATAAAAATGGTTTTATAGTCTTGTAAATAAAAGTGTAAATAATCCATGTTTGATAAATCTTAAACTAATATCGCTGTTCAATCCCTCAGCAAATGACTCATGTAAAATTTAAAAAAGGCACTAGTTACATAGTCTGATTGTCATGTTCATACCAAATTTCTTAAATATCTTCAGTAACTAACACTAATAACTACATTAACATGATGTATTTTCATTTAAATAATTTCCTTAAACTCTCATCTGAGTTCAACTTATTCCTACTTTTATTAGGAGAAAAAAAATTGTTATGTTCTTACCAGTCTGTACGTCCAGTACAAATGAAGAATTGGGATCCATTTGTATTTGGTCCAGAATTAGCCATAGATAAAACACCAGGACCAGTGTGTTTTAAAATGAAGTTCTCATCTTCAAACTTTTTTCCATAAATTGAGCGACCACCTGTTCCATTATGATTGGTAAAATCTCCCCCTTGACACATCTACATTAGTTAAAGTTCAATATAATTTTAAAAAGGAAGTAAGTGAAAAGACATTTCTAATTTATCTAACGCTATCATTTATTTGTGGTACTTTCTTACTCATTTGTACGAAAGGATACAAATTCAGGAATTATTCGATGAAATGTACTTCCTTGATAACCATATCCCTTTTCATGGGTACAAAGAGATCTGAAATTCTCAACAGTTTTTGGAACAATATCTGCTCTTAACATCATAATAATTCTTCCAACACTGTTTTTACCAATTTTTATATCAAAGTATACTTGAGGATTTTTCTTAGCTTTTTTAGCAGCAGGTTCTTCTTCCTGAAAATTGTAATTTTTTAAAATTATTTTAGGCATACAAAATCTTTAGCTGTATTAAAATGCAATGGCACTGTTAATCATTTTTTTGTCCTTCCAGTGATGGAAAAGCATTCCAAAGTGGTTTATTTTCAAAATGAGAAAATCAACACTTTATCTGATTTATACAAAAGTCATTGTATTACATACTGATTAATGCCCTAAGCATTCCTACCTTGAGCTCGCAATGTATCTTAACGAATACAATGTTAATGTTTTCCACAAGGGAATTTTTTTAGATGTTTTGAAAATATTAGATCATCAAATTTTGCTTTCATATTTACCTTCATGGAATTCATGGCATTGCCTTATCTGGTAACCTTTGTACCTTAATTATAGGTTGATTACACCACAAGGAGTAGATTATACCACACTGGCCTGAAAGAACATCGTTCACCTACCTTTCCAATTCATTGCCAACCGTGCAGACGATCCTGCAGTTTGATCTTATGCCTTAAACTTAATCTTCTATACATAAATGATATGCCCTCATCCATTAGAAACAGAAGAACAATTCTCTTTCTAATGATAAAAACTATAGTGTTTCTTTTTGATCAAGAAATAATACAAGTTCTGATGTTTCAAACTGGTTTAGTAAGAGAACACAAAGAAAAAAACATTTCAATGCAGTTTTGCAATTAAAATATGTTTGTGCCATTGAAATTGAACCTGTGCAATTGTTCGGTTTTAAGGTAACACAATTTGCAAGTCTTTTGAGTCAAATCTCATCAAACCTCTATCCCTGAACAAACTAAGTTAGTTAGGTTAGGCGTTTAAAATTCTTTCAAATTCAGTGAACTTTCCAGCAGCTTCTTGGATGTATTTTGTAAATGCACATTCCAACTTGTGATACTATGGCATAATATTCTGGGGGAACATCCTATAGTATTATACGTAAGTATGTAATTTACTTATTACTTCTAGTTACAAATAACACAAGGTGGTATGTGCTGTTGAAACATCACTACTATGTCTTAATTATCTGCAGCAAATGAACACATTCATATACCTACCACAGTTTCTTCATTAGGTCTCTTTTCAACTGCAGTTTCTGTTTTTTCGAGTGTAGCACCGGCATGATCTTGCAACCACACATCATCTGACCACACAGGACGTGATGAACCTTCCTTGATCTTTTGTGGCTTGGCAAGGTTTACTCGAATAGTCCTACCAAACAGCTCTGAATCATTCTGCAATACAAGAGAAGCAAAACATATACAAGGGTCAGTAAGAAATGTCTCTAATTTTTCCTTCTTCTATAATGTACAAATTTCATATTTTGTGTGGTTCCTCTATCTTTTTCCTGTAATACACTGCAATAACACCTTCAGAATTCAACAAATGGCATCATTGCATTCAGGCAACAAAAGGCTGACACTGACATAAGTAAGCAACGTACTATGATAGAATTCTTGAATGCAGAAGGTAAATAATTTATTCCCATTCACAAAAGGTTGATGATTGTGTGTGGGGAGGGAACATCCGCTTTGGCGCAGTTGTGGAAACCTGAAAGTTTGTGAATCAAAACATACCATATTATCAATAGCTGCTGCAGCATCTTCTGCGGATTCAAATTCCACAAACGCAAATCCTCGATGTTTTTCCGTTTCATAATCGAGAGGTATCTGAATATCAAGAATATCTCCAAATGGTATGAACGCTGCATGAATTACTTTCTCGTCAACTTCTTCAGCAAGCCCTCCTGAAAGAAAAATGGTGCTTCTAAATCCACGATTATATTTAAAAATCAATACAAGACGTTAAAAAACAAATAACAAGGCCTCACAAATACTAACCTACGTATATTGTGCGCTTAGGGTTGGTGGACATCGCAAATCAACTTTTCTAAGATAAAAAAATAGATGAAAGCAAATATGTAGATAACACTTAAAGGACCAATGTAATAGCATTCAAAAACAAGTTTCAAATACAGGTGACAATTTCAAATTGGCCACTCAAGAAATCATCACAACTCGACCACACCATGGTAAAATGTATACAACAGATGTAGACCCTCTGACATAAACACAGCATATACGTTTGGTCAGGGCACAGAGCATCCAGAGTAAGTACTGTACTATACTATACTATACAGACAACCCACTATTTCAAAAACATTTTTTATTCATTATTCGAAAATAAGGAGAGTTCGCCGAAAATGGGACTAGCGCCATATGTTTTCCTGCACTTTGTTACATACGTGGAGAAAATTTTATGAAAAAATGGTGCAGTTTCTGAGATTTGTTTTTAGAATTTTCATAAATATTAAATTCAAATTACGCGAAATCTACTCGTTTTTTTTTTAAAAAAAATTATACATGACCTTCTTTAAAGAACTAATTTAGAACTTCATTGAAGTCGGTATCTTCAATTTTATAGTTTTGAAGTGTTAATTTTCTGGAATTTTCGAAGATCCGGAGAGTTTGCCGAAAATGAGATACGCGTCAGTTGCAGATACGCGTCTTTTAGATCTTCGTAAATTTCTGACCCCCCCATTGTAGAATAATTCATCTAATTTGGGAATTGGATACTGATATATTTCCAACTGGGCGCTTACCGTTTCCTGAAGTCTCCGTACAATTTGATTGAGCCGTCCGGCTTATTGACCGGCACTATAGCAGTCTAGCTCACTCGCTATGACACCCCTCCATGCTAATCTGTTAATTTCTAGCTTAACTTTTTTCTTCGCGACACTCTTGCCACAGTCGCATTTGAAATTGCACTCTGTGGCCAAGCCTTTAAGTTCTGCTAACAAGTGCTTGTATGCTTGTCCTAGCTTCTTACGGCTTTGGTGGAATTGGCATCTTGGTGCTATCATATATGATTTTTTTTAATGCTCCGCTAATCTTTTTAGTCGAATTTGATGTTTTCGAGAACTCTGACTTGGCCTTGTTTAGCACGCCACAAGCTTTTGTGCCCGTGCAGCTTATTAAGAAGCTCTTCATTGTCTCATCTGCAACCCTGACAGCAGATAGCCAATATATTGACGACATTCCTCTTACGTAGCTCTTCGTATTTCTGTAGAGGTGGCCCGAACTGGTGATACATAGAGCAGAACCGATGTATCGACCAAAACAAGCAGCTGTCTCTTTTCATGACTAGGCCCCTCCAGTGTTCAGCATTAACCTAGTCATTAGCAGTCACCAGTCCCCAGCATTAACCTAACGAAGTATTCACCACTGCTGCGTTCTTAATGGCATAATACAAGTGGTCTCTAAACGACAAGGGTATGTCGATCATGATGCCGAGTTATTTTATCGCAGGTCGAGATGAAATTTTGAGATGATCGACTCGTGATAAATTATAAGTTACGTCAAATTTTGAGATGACAGAGATGTGTTTGAATAAGATATACTTTTCACCCTAATCCCCAGGACGATATCTAGTGTTATTACATTATTGTTATTGTTGTTATTAATTATTATTATTATTATTATTATTATTATTATTATTATTATTACTTGCGTATCGACTATTTATGACCACGCTACACGTTATCTTCTGAGGCCGTCATATTTATCCCGGAGAGAGTTGGAGTATGTTGTTATGGGGATCAGCTTTTCGGCTGAATTCCTTGGTAAGACAAGGGAAGCCATGAATTACGACGTGATAGGATGATGATGATGATGATGATGATGATGATAAAGGATGAAGGGGGAAACAAATGAGACCATGCCTACGAAGGACTCGAACCTGCAGCCTCCTCGGCGCAGACTCGACGGCTGCCCAACCGTCTGAGCCACGGCTTGGCCTTGCGGGTCGGTTTATTATAATTATATTATTATTGCAGCAGTCATTCAGGACCCACGGTGACAGAACTCCAGTGCAAGCATAACCAGGTAATGAGATACCTTACAACATGAATGGAGAATCACGGGCTTGGCCTTGCTCCGAAAGCTACCGAACTCGTCCATTTGAGGAGAAAGATTATTCCCATACCGAGGTTATCCCAACAAATCCGTCCGGTAAATAGCTTGACATCACGTATGATGCCTCAGTATATACTCTCTCTGTTTCATGCCAAACTCACCCTTGGTGAACATATAAGACAGGCAGCGGATAAGGCTTCCCGAGTGACTGGAGCACTAAGCAAGCTGATGGCCAGCGTCGGAGGTTCAAGACCTTGTCAAGAAAGTGTCGTCTACACATCTCCATGGCGCACTACATTATGCTGTATGGATCGGAAACATGGACAGACGCACTCGCAAGAGAACATCACAGCCAACGCATGAGCGCGGTACAGAGGAAAGGAGCACTGAGAATTTCCTGGTCCTACACAACTGGCTACCAAAGTCCGAATCTGTACTTCTGGTAGTCGCTGTAGTTCTGGTAGTGGATGGAGTCACACCCATTCACCTTCTTTCTCAGGAGGGGAAACTCATCCTCCAGACGAGGACTGAATTGGGAAGCCGACGAGCCCTCGATATGGAGTACTGGCAGAACACCTGGGCAAATGAAAGCAGAGAGAGATGGACAGCCAAGCTCATCTCGCAGATATCTCCTTGGATCGGGCGTAAGCACGGAGAAGTCTCCTTTCATCTAACACAATTTCTCACCGGTCACGGATGTTTCCGCAAATACCTCCATCAAATGAAACAGGTAGAAAGTGGGGAATGCGTGTGCTGCTCCTCACAAACAGATGACGCTGAGCACACACAGTCTGCGAGATGGGCATCCGACAGAGGTCACTAGGAGAAAGGGTTGGAGCGATAACCCCTGATAACATCATTAATGTAAATAATAATATTTATTGAGTCACATATACAATTACAATCGTGTAAGACGAGTCAATATATCTTGGGTGGACAGAGCGAAGTTCAGGAGCAAATAAGGGGCCATCTCAGCATTTTCTCAAGGAACCAGGGAAACTGAACAAAACTTGATTGAGATGGGGTTTGGGATTTTGAGATGTGGTTTACCAGCGAAGACAATTTGGGCGAGATATCTACCTACGTGGAAAAGGTACTCCGCACCAAGATGCTAGAGGAAATTCCAGGCAAACAACAACTTGAATTGGTAAAAAGAAGAGGCAATGCGAAGAGGTAAGCCCCCGAGGGCAAACGGCAAGACGTCATTCTGAAGTAGCTCGAAAGCGGTCCCAGAATGGTTTCCAAGTCTTAGGGGAAAAGGATTCGAGGTTGTAGCGGGTGAGAGTTCCACACTACTCAGGAGTTTGGGCACCCTCCTGAATGTTTATTAGAATTCTAAGTTTCCCTTGAGAGAAAAAAGAAAACAAAATATTAGGATAATTGGATATTTAGCCATATTCCGAATGAAATCCTCAATTTCAAGGTACATATTTATTTTTTACAATGAGCAGAACTCTCATGAACACGAAACCTTGAAACTTGAAAAATTCCATCTCGCTTTTGTAGTAAAAGAGATACATTAAGGTAAATTAATTTTTTTTCTTTGAGAGAACAATGTTAATATTGATTAAATTTCAAAATATTGCCAGTTTGAACGTGTTTTTTGAAGGTTTTTTGTTTCCAGTTCTAATTCAGGGAACAATATTAAGATTTAATTTTTCCGTTAAGTTCTGTCAGATGACATTAACTCACTTTCAAAATGAACATGATTTACTTCACATCACGAATTAGAATATTTATTTTCATGTAAAATTATGTGATAACAAAACAATACATTTCATTAAAATGTGAATTAATTTATAATTTTAAAAATAAATATGGTGTGAAAAAAAAATGCAAATAGTTGTAGGTCAAAATTAATACCAAATTTTACACAGCAATTGTCTTTAACTTGATTGTTGAAATAATCACACAATTATTTAGAATTTAATTTTTCTTGCTTTTTTAAAAATTTAATTTAATTTAATTACACATGTTAAATTTTTACACCTTCCAGGTCCCAGGTAATTGCCCAGGCACTTTTTAACATTCTTGGAGAGAGGACATACAACTGATATTATATTAGCACAGCTATCATGAATATTAAGTTTACCATCCTCGTTCTCTACAATCCAACTAAAGAAAAAGGAAAAATATTGTGTTTACAATTATACTCAACTATATTGGATACCTGAAGATCTAGTTTCTGTAAGAGTAATAATGGGATAATACATAAACCTTTATACATTCTCACCATTTGTTTGTAAAAACCAAATTTATTTAATCAATTTGAGAGTACAACTTGTACTGCTATAACAAACTCCACATTCAGAATCCTCAAAGTTGATAGTTCATACATTCAATTCAAATGGTTATCCAAACCCCATACAAATTGGCAGAAAAAACTCTGATCAACTACTAAACATTGTACATGTTTACAATACTGTCCTACATTTTCATTGCACTCCAACTGATCATAATTCAAGAATTATAATTCAAAATGTTGCTTTGTACTCTTTACTGGAGTTCACAATCCATCTCCTAGTTGGAGGTCCACTTCAGTTTAAAAATGTTAACTCTATTGTCTAGCTGGAGAATTTACGATTCCCAGCAATGTGCAATCTGCCTCCAGCAGAGTTAAGTCCTTCGTTGCCCCGAGAAATCTTGAAGACAACTCCAAGTCATTCACATGAAGTTTGACCGTGGCACCACGAACATACTCCGTACCTCTTTTTGCCGGTCGGGGACACACACAGTGGAACTTCCATCCGAAGTCTATGTAAAGATCGTCATTAACTATGTGGTATATTGTTCCCTCGACAATTTTATTCTTAGGATCGCCTAAATCAATAAATTTAGAATTTCTTAACAATGAAGCAAAAGTCTTAGTTTGGGGTGTATCAGTGCTTTCTGAATATTTCAGCAAAGATTTGGCGAAACCACTTAATTTTTCTTCTGAGTCTGCCTTTTTGCTATCCGAATCTGTAGAAAGATGATGTTTTAAGAGCACACAGTCATAGCAATATATGGATGCTGGAGTAAAATTGCGTAAACGCGTGAATATAATGTTCTTCAATGACATCTTCAGTAACAATCTCATGCCTAAACACACCAAAACACCTGCGTCGCTGCTACAAGTTTAATGATCTAATGGTTAGATTTTTGCATTTACAGAAACGTTTACTGAATTCCACGAAGCTCTAACCTCACAGCGTGCCTACGCCTAAAGCCTGGCATAGACATGTATACTCTTTGGGCAGAGGTGAATGGCAATTTTTTGTTTCCAGTGTCGCCAACAGTAGTTGAGCTTGCTTGGATTTGTGTTAATCTTGTTTCGCCATCATTTAGAACCTGTTTTTTGTATTTTCGAACACGTATGTACATCTTATTAATATTTTATTTAATTATTAAATTATATTATTTTCTTCTTCTTTATTCTCAAAACAATGTGGGGGCGAGAAATATATTTCTAATAATTGGTTATACTGTCATTGCAGTGTATTTTCTTTGAATACCGATTGTGAGTGAGCAGGAATCTAGCGTTTTAGAAGTTCGAAACAACTGTGTCATCTTCTTGAAAGGACGGAAAAGATTTGTGATCCAGTTATTGTGTAGTGTATCAGAACTTAACAATGGCGTGTGGAACACCGCATGATATGTTTTCTGCAAATCCATTGTGGCATAATGGACCAATACCCGGAGGATTTTATAATTTTCCTGGTTCTAAAACGGCTCCACTCTATTCTGGAGCCCAAAGATTCCAGTGAGTACACTGTAATATGACAGTTTGATAACTTTGTTTTCTTTTACTTTGCCCAAAATGCTAGCTTAGGTAATGCGGCGTTATGTTTTGGAGAATCTAAGAGATTAAAACGCAAGTTTTGAGATAAATAAATAATTTCCTTACCTCAAAAATTCGGAAGAGTAATTCTACTTAACAAATAGTTATTAATTTTGGATCCATTCTTATGGAATCTAAATGGCTGTGCAATGTCAGTAAACAGTAATGGGCACTTTGTTTATAAATGCATTCCATGCACTATCATTATATTGTGGGTGGTGAATCGTGGGTTTGTGATGCCTCGGGCATGACTTCCTTCGCTAATGTCATGGCCTTCTTTACTACTGTATCTATTGTTCACCACTGAATCCTTAGCAGTGAACAACTTTTACAAATTGTTTATATATATGTTTATAAAATTGTTTATATATATACAAAAATTCTACCACTAAGCTAATTCCTTCAAACCCCTGCTACATTGTTGTACACTAATAAACTTTAAAAAATAAAAAAAAAATTTAAAAAAAATAGAATACTGCAATTTGTTGTTTTTCTCCCACATATAATACAAATAATTCCCCATTTGCTCCTTGCGTTGACTCTGAGGGAGGTGTCTCTTGCAATTCATGTGCGTTCAATGCTGCTGGAGCACCGGTTTCACAGTACTTGAAATGTAAAAATTGGTTGACACTGAGGTGGCAATAACTTCATCTTCTAGGAAATCGCAAATTCACACACACTTCACCAAACAATATTGGAAGTGCAATGTAAAAGAAATCCTCACCTGACACATGCAAGGAGCAGCAGAGAAAGTGGTATACTAAATAAATCAGTAGTCATAGTTATATTAATTCATTTTTCTTCATTTTATAGCTTTTCCTACAGCAGTAGGAGGCAGTGTTATTTTCTTCGTATTAAAAACATCTTCAGTATTGTAAATCATGAAATCAATGGTGATATTGTGATTTTCCTTTATAGCATCTTTGATGTTATAAATTGTAAAATACTGTGAAGTGACAATTGAAATGTTTCTTAAAAAATACCAACAATTCATGATCAGTGAACAATAATAACCCTAGCATGCTGCTTGGAGGATAATCGCTTCATGTCAAGGAAGCGATATCCCACTTATAGCAGAGTAGGACAAGTTTTAGGGACACTAAACCAGAGATCAACCACTGTGGTTGATCTCAGGTCAGCAGTGCCTCTACTATAATAATTCTCATGAAAATAAGGTTAAGATCTAGAAATTTGGAATGGAGGTCTTCAGAGAACAATCCAGATGACATATTAAAATTTTCACCGTTGTGTTCAGCTTCTCCTCTTTCTTTTCTCCCTGTCCTCTTTCTGACCTGTTTTGAGAATATTTAGCGATGTTTTACTGAAAAATTATCCAAACATTAACCTTAAACTTTGGTTTTAAGTTACATTGTATTTTTTTGGTAACCATTTACAAAGAAATTTGAAGAATCCATCATGTCCTACCGTAAATTCACGAATCCTTATTACATTTTCACCATCCCAAAAAAGAAACATCCCATTTTTAAACAGGAAAAGAAACATTTAAATGTTCTAAAAGTTTTTTTCAATAATTTCAAAGAAAATTACAGAACCTATAACTTATCACATCAAAATATTAATTGACAACTCAATTTAATTGCTGCAAAACATATAAACAAGTATGAAAATAACACTACTACAAAATAAAGTATTTTTTAATAAATTTGAACATTCCCCAATTAAATCCAAATCAAATAAATCCCAATATAGCCATTGGGTCACTGTTTCTTAAAAAAACTGTTTACTTTTAATATTCTTATTACTGTTAATGTTTTTTATTTCTTCTCTTTGTAAATTCTTTCCTTTTCTTTTTTGCAGTACACCTGTGACAACTGGTACTTCTGTATTAGCTATTAAATGTGATGGAGGTGTTGTGATAGCTGCAGATATCTTGGGATCTTATGGGTCCTTGGCACGCTTTAGAGACTTACACCGTGTGCACAAGATAAATGAGAATACTGTTCTTGGTGTCAGTGGTGACTATGCAGATTTTCAGCATTTACAACAGATAATTGAACAGAAAGTGTGAGTATTGCTGGGTACCCTACTGTTCAACCTTTTGCACTCCCAATTCTTCAGGTCCTGCATTCCAGTAATCTCTTTATTTAAATTTCATCGGCACACTATGTCTATCTCAGCGTGCCCACAACACATTGGTGATTTTTATGTTTTGGCTCACAAAAGATGCAGCTTTTTTCAATAGTAAAAATATTTTTGGTTTATATTACCTCACTTCTAACGTGTAGTTAGTTCAATAAATTGTCTGGCAAATTGAAGTAAAATAGCAATAAACAGGATATTCGTTTGTGTTTTTAACATCCAGTTATTGTGTTAGATGAAGTCTTTTGTTCTCGATTAACATTCTGCAGAATTTGGAAATCAAATTCTGATTTCCTGCTTAGCTAGCCATTCTGTAACCATTGAACTAATATAATGAGATACAAAAGATAGCAAATTATTTTATATCAAAAGAAGTTTAACCAATTATTTGTCTTAATAAACTGACTAACAATCTGAAATTATACAACAATGGTCATGATGAACATTACCAATTGTTTAGGGTGCAGTTTTGCATGTCCTGTCGAAATCTGAATGAAATGGGAACTCGGAAAATAATGAAAACTGTATATCAAGTGATAGTAAGCCAGTTTTAGAGAGATAAGAGAAAAATAAGAAAATTCTTGTTCTTAACAATTTGTGTAGTCAGATTCTATATTTTGTGGGTCCTTGTTTCCAAAAAATTGGTTTATGGCAAAATGCCTTACTGTGGACAAAGCATTGTGGCTAAACCATTAGCATGATTTTCCCCCAAATTTGATATTGCTCAGTTGATCTGGCCACTTAAATTTGAGTTGATGTCATGGCCCCTTGAATTTGAAAATATTGTTTTAATATTTTGGGGAACTTTACATGGAGCCTCAAGGACATTTTCAGATTTTTATCAAAATTTGCTCAAAGTCAACTTTGCCCATGGATAGTGTTAAGAATGCTTAAAAGAATGGCACAAGTCACAGTTTCATCAAAATATCTGAATTTTCAGAAATTGCAGATGTTCAAAATTTTTTTCATCATCTTCCTACTATTTTAGTATTTAAGACAGATTTTTCCTCTGTATGTATGTATCTATCTATTTAGCGTATTTTTACAGCCTTGGCTGTTTTCCGCATCCCAATTTCCATGCCTGTTTATTCCATATATTGTTTTCCTCCATTTCTATTTTTTCCATGGCTTCAGTTATTGCCATGTTCCAAGTTGTTCTCAGTCTTCCCCTGTATCTTCTTCCATTTGGTATCCATTCCCAAACTTTTTGTGGAAGTCTATCCGATTTCAACCTTCTCATATGACCATACCATTTTAGTTGTTTCATTTCAATTGTCTCGTTCAAGGTTGTTTGCCCTTTCATTTTATTTCTTATTTTGTCTAACTGAGAAAGTTCACAACATCTATGCCAGAACATCATTTCTGTTGATTGAAGTTTGTCTTTCAAATTTTTTCTTAGTGTCCAGACTTCTGCATAGAGAGTGTGGTACTCTCTATGATTGAGCTTTCTACGAGTTTCTTTGTCTTAATTGAAATAATTGAGTTCCATAGCACCAGATTTAACTGTCTTGTGGCTATTTTTCCTCTTATATTTTTATTTTTCACATCCTGTTCGTCTCTAACATCTGCTGTTAGTGTGACTCCCAAATACTTATATTGTGTATTACCTTTAATTATTCCTATACCAGTCTTCAAATCATGGGGCATACCTCTCACCACCATATATTCAGTCTTTTCTATATTAATTTCCATTTCCCTTTTTCCAAATTCTTCTACTAATTTTCTGAACATATAAGTTACATCATCTTCATCTTCAGCTATTATCACCTGGTCGTCTGTAAATAGTAGATGTTTCATCACCTATTTTCACACCCATGCTTCTGCACTTTCTTTTCCATTTTTTTAGGGTTTTATCAATGTATATCTTAAACAGGCTTGGAAATAGACAGTTTTGAAAAATGATCATTAATATTTTTCAAATTGTGAATAGTTTTAGTGTAATTTTGAGTGAATTGTCGGTAATATTAAAAAAATTTAAAAGGCAAGGCTTTTCTCAGAAACTTCTCAATACTTTTTCTTTAAACATTTTGTGCAGATAGTACTAAATGTGCTGAATAACGTGACATAAATATTATTTTTATGTATTATTTAGATTTTTAAAAATTTACACACATGTAATTTTCTTTATATATTACCTACATCATTAATATTTATATTGCAAGCCTTTTTACCTGCTATTGTGTTTGTGAGTGCAAGGGCTGATGCAATAGTTTCTGATGAAGTTTCTGTAAAACTCAAATATTTTCAGTGAAAATGAGCTTAAAATTGTGCATTTTCAGAAATGCAAACTTTTCTCAAAAATGGCTCTGAATTTTTTTAGTGGTGTAATGGTTTTAGCACCATTAGATTGTGAAGTGGTTTGTATTTATCAGTAATTTCTCATTAACAGGATATCCGAGCAGTGTCTAGATGATGGGTTTGCTTTAAAGCCTCGCTCTTTGTTATGCTGGTTGACCAGACATCTGTATTATCGACGCTCTCGTTATGACCCTCTGTGGACAAACTTTATAGTGGGAGGAATTCAAGATGGACAGCCGTAAGTAGCAGCATTGATATTTTTTTCTCTCTCTCTCTCTCTCTCTCTCTCTCTCTCTCTCTCTCTCTCTCTCTCTCTCTCTCTTTTTTTTCTTTAAATCATTGAAGTGCAATTATAGGCGCGTATTAATTATTATTTTCGTTTTCCTTTGGGTGAACACAGTGGTACCTTCGTGAGCTGCTGCTTCAATATTAGTGCAAGTAAAATAAGTGCAATTAAGTAGTCCTATTTAGATGCAAACCATTTTGGTATATAATCATATTTGAAATATGAATGAATTTGAATTTTGAAGTGATGAAGCACTTTGATGTGACAAGTCGATGAAGGGGAGGATTGCTCTCTTGTTCCATGTGAATGCAAAGGAGGAGTGCAACTTCATTAATCTACTTCTCTTAAAACCCTTAATCCTAAAAAAATTCCAGAAAACTTTGATATGATGTCAAGGAGGGCAAACTGAGGAATATTTTCAGTGAATGCTTTTAAATTGTGTTTGGGGGCCAGCATTAAGAGTTTTTTTTTGGAAGAGAAAAATCTGTCACTGAATGCCACCCTTGTAATGGTTAACTGTTCCGGCTCTCCATTTGGGTTCCGAAAGACAGACTTCATAACTTTAAAATTCCTCCTCCCAAATTGATCCATCTTATTCAAGCTGCATGTAGACTAGCAGATAACAGTAATTTCAAGGAAGTTCAGAAAATACACTAAAGCTCTTATTCTTTAGTGCACTGTAATGCCTTCTGAAACGGAATTAACCCTGAGAGTTTTGGAGACATCTCTTTACTACTCTCCATTGCATAACTCTTATTTAACAGAGCATGGCCGAAGTTCTTCTACAAAAAAAAACACACACACACATTTCTGCTTGTAGGAATTAGAATCCAGAAGTCTCAAAAATGATCTTTGGAACACTGACTGTAGTTAGTATAGTGTCTCTCTGAGTAAATACAGAAGTCTTGATGTGAGTGATGATGTGGATAAGTTAGAGCAAGATAACTAAATACTGAGGATGTGAAGAAATGAGCATGATAGTTATGTCTTCCTCAGGCATGTGGTTGAGGTAGCCCCTACTTCATTACACAAGGAAATCTGTCAGAAATCCATAGAGGAGTACCACCCCTACAAAATTCAAACATGATATAATAGCATTATCTAGAAGGACAAAATGAATATCACATTCTCAAAACATCCTGATGAGAAGGCAGAAAGGAAGTTATGTGGATAAGATTTTTTGTAAAGGTCTTCTATGATATCCAAGTTGGCTCCTGACAGAACAAAAGATACCAAAAAGAAAGTTTTTATTTATGAACAATGTTTATTTCACACAATAGATTTTAAGTTCAGTTTTAAACAGTGATATAATAAAAATGTGTTTTTTACAAAATCAGGAAAATTATTTTTCCTTCATTTCTTAAAATGTTTTAAAGGTTTGTTTGATTAAATCCAGTACTGTAATAGTCTAAGGATCAGGAACATATTAAGGACTTACTGCAAGGTGCCACGGTATTTATCTATTTTATATTTTATAAATTGCATTCGACCAATATTTACAGTTATTTTATTTGCAATAAGGTTTCTGGGAACTGTGGATAAACTGGGGACAGCTTATGAAGATGATCATATTGCTACTGGATATGGTGCTTATATTGCTCTACCAGTGATGCGTGATGAATTAGCGAAAGCAAAACAGTCCGGTCAACCTATTTCCAAGGAAGATGCCTGTAAAGTACTGGAGCGCTGCATGACTGTCTTGTTCTTTAGGGATGCCCGCTCTTTCCCCAAGGTAGGTGTATTATTATGTTTGCAATTTTAATTTTGTTGTAAGTGATCAATACTTTTTTGCATACAGAATTGTACACAGATACTTAAATTACATTAATTCTGAAAATGGCTTTTTATGACACAAATGTTTACATTGTTTGTTTACATTATTGAACACACTGATGTCAAGTTGTTTGCTTGCTACTTTTGCAATTAATTTAGCATTTCTATGTATAAAACCTGAAGCAAGTGAACTTCTATAAGTTACTTAATGAACTTATTTCAATTTTTTAAACCTAATCTACATACATCATGTTCTAATAATTGAAAAGGAATAAATAGTTCTTTATTTTTCTTTGAACATTATCTTAATGCTGGGCAAATAAAATACATTTTACATCTCTTTTTGTTTTCAGTATGAAATGATCACTCTAACTGAAGAGGGTTATGAACACCATGGTACTAAGACAGTTAAAGCTAATTGGGAAATAGCTCACATGGTCAAGTAAGTATTTGTATTTGCAATATTATGCCATAATGTGAGAATGTGACAATTTAACTCAGTGGAGTATTTTTAATGTTTCTTGGTTAGGCACTATTAGGCTGATGCAAAGTTAATCGTAATACTTCTTATATTATCTTAATCTTAAATTCCCATGGCTATATGATTTGATTATATTACTTGTATGATGTTTTTTTGTTCCAGAGGTTATTAATGAACAATGGAAGAAAAAATCGATGAAGTTACTTCTCATAATGTTTTGTACGAATGTAATTGTATGAATAATTCAAAACATAAATTAATTGTTAAAAAAATTCGTGTTTTTGGTTTACCCCTTGAGAGTGATCTTTTATAGTTTGTAGCATGAAATTGCAAGCTTCAAGGTCATGCCAAGTGAGTGATCCTGTTTGACAAGAGAAGCTTAGTTTGGAAGAACTTGTTTATAGGTCTTACTGCATGCTGATCGTCCAGCTTGGTCTGGTACAATAAATCAGAATTAGATTCTCAGTATCCGATATTTTACATCTAATTTATTGGTTTTGACATGAAGTCAGAAATACGAAATTTATATTCTGTAATTAAGGAAAAGAATGAGAATTTAAAAACAATTTTCATAAAACAGCATATCGTATCAGGCAACAAGAGTAATTTATATATGTATAATAAGATAAACACAGAATTCTACATTAAGAGAAAGGGTAATTGAAACACATATTCTGACATCTCACGTTTCACTCGCCACAGAAGGCAGGGTCAGAATCTGAAATTCTAGGTGAAGCATATTACAATTGATTCAATAGCTACATTACAAATCCATATTGCTAGTCTTCTTCCTGTAATGCTTCCATGTGTGGAATGCTTCCTTGTGTGTTAATTTGTTTCTCTGGTCATACCTTTCAGTGCCATTTCATGTGACACCTTTCCCAATTTTGCCAGCGGAGAGGATAATGCTCACATGGACCTTCGCCTGTCATCAGGAGTGATCGCTGTGCTGTAGCGCCCTTCCATGGCAATGCCGTTTTAGGCAGCCAGATGCAGAGTAAATTACCTTGGATTGCATTTTCATGACTTAAACTACGTAAACATTTTACATTATGACCTTTCTCTTAACCCACCTTTATTTTCCCTTTGCATTGCCATCTTATTTATTTCTTTCATTCATGGAGAATTCCCTCAATTTCAGTTCAACAAAATAATTGGCAAAGAGTATCAATTCAATCCAATCAAATGTGTAGATAAGAAAAAAGACAACAAAGAATGTATGTATAAATTAATGAAAAATTAGTAAAGTATTAAAAATTAACTAATATAAAGTTGTATTCACAACTAGTTAATGAGTAAAAGCAAATTGTAAAAGACAAATATGTATAGGTGAATTACAATAAATTTAGCAGTGTCACTGTCAATGTCAATATCATTCCTCAAATTGTTTACCTCGCATTTGAATCTCTTCAAGACATTATAGAAAAGATATCAGTTCTGCTGCATGATAGGAAAAATGGGTCTCAGTTTTGTCATTGCTATGCAGAGCATAAAAACACATATTGGACAAAATATTAGAATGTGATAAAGGCATGGAGGAAAATCCTATCATAGAATGTTCTCGTGATTGCTAATTTCGATATCATCATCAAATTTCAAATATCGTCATACTCGTGTTCCAGTCTGGACATTGGAGTATTTTTCAAGAATGCTAAGTAGCATGTAAATCTGTTCTGGACTCTCACCAGGGCCACTGATGGACCATTGGTGTCAGGAGTTCACACTATCATGTCCTATTCCAGAATGAATCCCACATGTGAGAAGAATTTGAATTTGATTTTCATTTGAAAAGCTTAGCAGAACAAAGGGCTATCCCATATTTTTTTGTGAAAATTAAGTTATTAGCATTAAATGTAACTTCACATATTATTCTTTTAATGCGTTCTTTGTCAACATCCATCTTAATACATTACTGAGAGTTATAATAGATAGCAAGTTGTTTATGATCACATTAAACAATAAAGGCTCTATATATGGTCCCTTAGCAAAACCAGTTGGAGCGTCGAATTAGAACTGAGCCTGCAAACCGAGACATGGTTTCATACTCTTGTGGCATGTTCGCAACCAGGAGAACATATGATCGCCAATACCAGATTCAGCCAATTTCTCTATGAGAAATTCCTGATTAACACGGTCAAAGGCCTTCTCGAAATGGGTGTAGATCATGTCAACTTGGCCTCCATCATGAAGGGATGTGACAATGAAATGAATAAGAAGGTTGGTTCTGAAGGTACAATTGGAACTTTAGGGACTTGAAGGTCGGAAGCCATGTTGATAATCAGGAATGGTGAAATGAATCCTAAATGAGATAGCACAATCTACTTGTTTAGAGAACTTGGAATTGATTTTGGACGATAGCGGAATATGTGTACGTTTAGTTTTTCTTATGGACTGGAATAACCTTACCCAGCTTCCACAATTGGGAAATGAGCCTGAACGGAGCGATAAGTCGAGTAGAAGCCAAATTGGTTTAGAAATTGAGTATTGACAGTTCCTATAAAAGATGTATGACAGTGCAAACTCCCTTTTTGACATTCTTATTACCAATCCATTCAAAAAATCTGCCAAACTCGGAGTATCACAATTCAATGTGATAGAATGATTCGCAGTGTAAAGAGCGTTATATACAGAAGGGTCAAAGTATTACGACGCGTAATTCCCGACAAACAATCGAGCAGTATCCTTGTAGCTGTCACTGTGCGTGTCCTACCATGAAAGATGGTGGCGGAAGTGATATGCGCGGTGGACAGTAAATTGGCAGGTGTAACCTTTTTGCATATCATTAATAATAATAATAATAATAATAATAATAATAATATTTATTGAGTCACATATACAATTACAATCCTGTATGACGAGTCAATATGATGCCTTGGGTGGAGAGCTCTGTGATCCCCTGTGCAGTGAAATGAAGTGTGGTGAGGTGGAAGTTAATTAATTGGGAGTTTGTCACCATCACTTAGAAATAAATAGAGGCAATATAGTTTATACATGTAATTGAACAACTAAAATTATTACAAGAAGTTAAATGATAAACCTCGTATGGTGTATGCATACTTCTTTAAATTCAAGAAGCACAAATCATGTGATTGAATGCAAGCATAATACGCCGCGATTAATTGTTAGGCAGTTGAGATTCACAGTTTGACTGGCATGAACGAAATAAATAGAAAAAATTGTGAGGGATTTACAGTGGAATTGACACGTAGTGCTGTAAAATAGTCACAGATGTCACGTGGGACGAATGGCCCTGCTTGTGCGCTTTGTCACAATATAGCTCTTTTTCTCTCGTGGGTAGCGTGGTAATTCAACACTGCGAGTTTGGCGATAAACTGACGAGTGAGAAGGATCAGTCGAAGCAGTTTATGGGTTTCTACAGTAGGAGTTATCCAAACTATCAACAGTGAATGAGCCGTGTTTTAAGGAAGGGTTCAGTAATAATATGTGATGGATCAACGCATTGATGAATTCGTCATGGACACTCCTTGCAGTGCGTGTTCTTCTGGCGATGAGGGGGACAAGTGACGGTCAGTGTGATCGCTGAGTATCTCCATCTCTCCTTGTCTCTGCGCTTCCTTATCCTCGAGAGGGGAAATTGTAGTTGCCGCAGAATGGGGGAAGCCTCCGCTTCACCAAAGTGGTTTTTTTTTTTTTTGCGGACGGTACAGGTAGAGTAGCCAGCTCCATTTATTGGCAGTCTTGCCGGAATTCTTAGGGTGAATTAATAACCACGAATAATGTCCTTACTTCCTTGTTGGGTAGATGTTCCCCCAGCGACCAGTTGGGCAACAAGCAGGCGCCGTCACAGGTAGAGAGGGCGGGGGCTGAACCATAGCGGTCGGCTGGCGGATGCCGACGACTCTGCTTCGTCCGTTCTCATTCACTCCGGCCGGTGCCATCCTAGAACCCAATGGCGCGCCGTGACCTGTCCGCAATTGTGACGATATCCCGGACACGTTACCCGGCGAAGGTAATGAAGGGCGTTTGCACACAATGTACCGCATAATGCTATTAATATCACGAAAAGTTTGTCTTAAACTGGCGATCATATGCTCTACTTCAAGAACTGCTGGCCTTCTCCGAAGTAGAGCCGAGACCGAAGCAATGAAGTCGTAGAAGCTCTCAGGAGGGTAGTGTCCTCGAGGCACTCATCATAGAATTCAGAGGTGTCTTTCAGGTCCTCACGAAGAGTAGCAAGTAATACCTCTCGTAGGGGCTCTGCCTCCGGAATCACGAAATCTCAGGCGACCTCCTTCCATGTCCTTTCCATGTCACTGATTGCTCAGAATCAACTTGAGATTTCATTGGGGGGCGGGAGGCTAGCGCAAATGACACGCTAGCAATTCTTCTTGCGACGCATCTGCACTCTCAAATCGGTTCTGAGATTGACACAGTGGCCTAAAATCGCCTTTTCACCAAAGGAAGGCAGAGAAAAGGGGGAAAATCGTTTTAACCGCGTGGCTTTTCGCTTTGTCTCCGCGCGCAGAACCTTCAGGGGTGCAGTCGGTTTGACGTGCGCGCCTATCAGCAGAGATAAGTACGGGCGTATACCGACAGTACTCACGGTCAACTTTTCCTAACCGTTTACCTACCTCCCCAAAAAGACATAGCTCGACTGCATTCCGTTCTGTTTTCCTCATTGGCATGAGGATTGATTTCTACATTTCTCGTGGTCTGCTTGAAATCACATTGATTTATTATAATTTATCCACTTATTTGTTTTCAAAAAACGTTTTTATGTCTTATGAGAGCACTGCCAACTTTCGAAACCGCCGCTTAAAAGTTAGTGGAAAAGAAACATGAAATTTCTTATCAGGACCATTTTCTTACTGTGCTGACTTAACATACGCAATTCCGAAGATTCTGCCATGTTCACCTGTGTTTTCTCTCGATTGGTGCGAGGACATCTACACGCGCTACTTACGTGTGTAAACTTGTCCTCCTTCCGAAACACCGTATAAACTAAACGGGGGCTATGCCTTCTCAGGTTACGAAAAGTGAAATGGGATTAGCTCGGTCGCAATGATGAGGGAAACTGACCCTGGAATGCGGTTGGCGATATACAAAACTACACCCTCGCACGTTCGTTTCCAAAAAGTGACGCCGCGGCGCTGCTTCTGCACGTACAGGGCGAACAGCCGTGACTGCCGCCCTGCGCTTGACGGTCAAATTACCAAGGCCTGCTGCGCCGCGAATATATATCGTTCTCAGAGACAGCGTTCGGTTACATTAGCAACCCCCTCCCTCCAAGAAAATTCTGAGGGCAGCGACGAATTTTCTTCAAAGAAACCTAACGGTAGCGATATTGAAGAACACATTAAAGAAAGCACATAAAAACGAACATATGCCTGTCCGGTTGGCCGAGATCGTTACGGCAGTAGTGCCGTAGCGATCTCGGTCCTGAGGATCGCAGGTTCGAGTCTCGCCTCGGGATGGTTGTATGTGTTCGTCCCTTCACCCCCTATCTCCATCATATAACATCTTCACAGTTGTCATACTGTTGAATGCAATAGTGGCCGCTAATGATCTAGATATTGATGCGACTTGAAATAACAAAAAACTATGCTAAGCTAACTCTTAACATATGACATTGTCACATAAACCTGAAAAATATAAAACAAATTACAAGAAAAATGTGTACTTCTAAAGGCAAAGAACATGGCGACATACACGTCAATGTTCCTCCCTTTCGTAGCTGGCAAATGACAAAACCGGGCAGCAACGTATTTTATGCCAATACTTCTTTAAAATCATTTGGCATGTATATCTTCTTAATATTTTCCAGGAAAGTCTCCATTTACTTGCCTTCTGTTTACCCCATAAGTTTTTTCCGCCATGGATACGCGTGCGTGAACGAATCTATGAAATATTAAATTGACGGGCCTATAATTTTAACTCACAGTTCAAGAGCTGATCCGAAGTTGGGATCGAGTATGAAGCTATTTTCACTATTAAAACAATGATTTACATAATGAAATGTATACGATCCAGCTACAAATATTGTATTAGAAACAATAGGGCGGATCGCAAAGTAGATAAAATATCTTATAACACTTAATAGGAACCAACCAATGATTGTCTGTATCAGGAGTTCCCAACGGTGTCAGTATCGACCCCCTAGGGGTCAATTAAATTTTGAAGGGGGTCAGTGATGATCAAGGGGGCGAATGGGGTCTATAAACGGATATGAAAAGGCGATTGACAGATGTAATCAAGATTCCATTGTTTAAAAAGAAATTAAATGAACTTGATAAATCAATATATTTTGCTATGTAGCAACAAAACATAATAATAAAAAAATACAAATTCGCTCATCTTTCGTATCCGACGTTCATCATTGGATGAGGGGCGTAGCTAGACTGATGCAACTGGTGTATAGCAAGGGGTTCTTAATAAGGATCCCCCGGACGGATATTAGCAAAGAATAAAACAAGTTGCACTCCATGCTTACAGATATTTTCTCTATTGCGACGAGCCATATTATCATACAATTATATTTAAAACTTAATTTCACGTTTATTGCAGATAAAGAGCCC